AGTAATTTAGTTCTATGTTTTTTACATGAGAAATAGCTGTCTGCAGGAGACATTATTGGGAGCGTGCTTATTTGGTCACAGTGATTTCCATGTAAATTCTATCCAAATTATTGGTTTTTTGTATTTTGGTTGGTCATACAAGTCTAGCTTTGGGTCTATGATTTGGCAGACCAATTTATATAATGTTCTCAGTAAACCAAAGCTTAGGGACCAAGCTTTGCCCTCTCTTACACAATCTAATATAGTTATGTTGATTTTCTCTAAAGAATTCAGCATTCACACTAAAATATTAATAATTTAGTATGTTTCCCTCGTACAATGAAGCTCACTTTGTTATTTAATAGACTTTACTCAAGATAATTCAAAAGTATAAAAATCCTTACCCAGATGGTAATGCTGTGTTCAATGGCTCTGGGATGGTGCACACTCTAGTGCCCATTAGATGGCAGCATTACCTAACTAGAAATGTGGCCTGTCACTGGGTTCTGCTGAGGTTTTGACTTGCTGTCAGTCCTCCTGCTCTTAGAATTAAAATAAAATTAATTTTAAATAGTGCAACAATAAAAAATATGTCTGTTTGTTTTTAAAATGATATGGTTTCAATTTTGTTTTAAAGGATTATGTTTGTGTTATTGGTTTGGTAATACCTTTCCCATACTATCAAAGAAATATTCTAACAATGTCATCTTGTTTCCTAGAAAATTTGTTTGCCTAAATGACAATATTGATCACAGTCATAAGGATGCACAAACAGTAAAAGCAGTGCTTAGAGATTTTTATGAGTCGATGTTTCCCATCCCTTCCCAATTTGAACTGCCAAGAGAATATCGGAATCGTTTCCTTCACATGCATGAACTCCAAGAATGGTATGTTCCATAAGTTCTTTTCAAGTTACTGTAGTGCAGTAATATATAATTACCTAAGATGCTACTAACAAACTGGTTTTCCCCCAGTATGGTCATGAAAGAGTTAACAGTGAAAATAGTGTGGTGAGATTTGTATGGAATAAAATATGAGGTCTGCAGGATTTGGGTTTTTCCAGTGCTTAAATAGTCATCAATATTTTATCAATTGTTCCTAACCTACTGCAAACAAAAGCTGTTGGTTTGTTCCTTTGTTTTTTGGTTTTTTTTTTTTTGGTTTTTTTTTGTTTTGTTTTTTTTTTTTAATAAAACAGGAATTCTAGCTTTCTTTAAACTTAAAAAAAAAACCCAAACCACTATTGCATTTCTGACTAAGTGATTTTTTTTCAATCTGTCACATAGCAATAACCATCTGGATAAAAATCAGAAACGAAATATGTGTGTATCATTTTTGTATAATATGTGAAATTTTTGTGTGTGTTTATCGGTTGCCATTTCATAAATAACAACTGAAGAAATGGGAGTAGTTGACTTGAGAAGACAAGCAAAACATTGACAGATGCAGTGACAAAAATTACACAAGACTAATATAAGTAAACCTGTTGCTGATCAGCAAATCGTGAGAAATAGCTGTTAAAAAGAAAATAGAAAGCATTGGAGGAACTCCAGAAGGAATCAGAAGGATTGCAGGCGTGACTGTAGTGCTACAAGACCAGCTGTATTAATGGCGGAGGGAGCAGGGGCCCTTTAGAAATTCGTGCTGGAGGAGGAAACACAGTGTTGGCTCCCTTTAGAGACCCTCCATCAAATCTTTTTGTAGTTTCAAAAAGATACTTTATTTTGTCTTGTTTATAGCCAAAGATGATTCTACCAGGGTGTGTTAAGGCAGATTAAAATGCTGGTGGAAATCAAAGTGTTTTCAGAATCACAGGACAGCCTAGGTTGGCAGGGACCTCGAAAGATCGTCTGGTCCAACATTTCATGGGAAAAGGTACTTTTGATGAGACTGTCTCCTGCCAGCTCTCAAGTGTCTTGGCTGCAGGTATATAACTGGTGCACGTGAGGGAATTGCAGTTTGGTCAAAAAGGATGAAGTGTGACTGCAAATCCACAGTTGCCACACGTAGATGTGGCACTTGGGGATGTAGTTTAGGCCTGGACTTGGCAGTGTTATCTTAACAGTTGGACTCCATCTTTGAGGTCTTTTCTAACCTGAAAGACCCCATGATCTAGAACCCCGAGCAGTCATATCTTGGAAGCTTCCAGTGGTGCAGACTCTACCCTGTCTCTGGGGAAACTGCTGCAGAAATGATTGTCTTGACTGTAAAGAAGATTTCCTTATATCAAGATAAAACCTCTCCTAGTCCAGCTTGTAGTTGTTGCCCCTTGTCCTCTCTATGTGGCTCTTTGTGAAGAGAGAGCCTACATCCTCTTTTTAGTAAACCTTTAAAAACTGGAAAAAACTTTCTTTGCATGTATTGTGGAAACTCTTTAAATATTTGCATTTATGATATATGAAGCTGTTTTTGTGTTTCCTTCTTTCTTTGTTCAGGAGGGCATATAGAGACAAGCTCAAATTCTGGACCCACTGTGTTCTAATAACACTTATTCTATTTACAGTCATCTCATTTTTTGCTGAACAGGTAAAGTTAATGTCTTCTTATCAAATATGTATAACACTTAAAAGATTGTGGAATCTTCAGGATAACATTGGATGAATTTTTAAATAGGTTTTGAAGAGTAGATAGGATTTTCCCTTCATAAAAGAAGTAACAATGGTACATGACTCATGAATAGGTTGCTTTAATTTTTAAGTCACCATGTTGAGATTCCTTGAAAAGAGAGTCATATGGGGAGAAGGAGAGTGGCACCTTCTGAGGTGCCTTGTGACAGTAAAGTCTATCACCAGTGTGCTAAATTTGGATACTCAAATCCAGTAATTGTTTTAAAAATTCTTGGTCAGTTAACACAGATATTGGTAGAGGTGTACAGAGGTAATGTAAATTAAGAGGAAGAAAAATTAGTCCAGAAGGGGATCTTAAGTTACTTAAAGGCCTTATCAGAATCTCTTCCCTAAGTAATTGATTGCAAAGACTCCTACTGAATTCAAAGGGTTTTGAATCTGACTAAAGGGAAAAAAACTCCTTGACTTCTGCAAGCTTAAAATGGCTTTCTTGAACATGATTAGTCCTGCTAAACTCAGAGGGAGTCAATGGAACAAATCATATGGGTAATTCTTTGCAGGTTGGGGCCTTAAGTAACACTTTCCGTGGTCTGATGAAGAGGGTGTAATTCTTGAAAGGTTGGCTTTTGATTATTATTTTTTTCCCACCTGTAACTTTTGCATGACTCTTTCCCTTGATTTTCAGCCTTTTTTATATATTAGAAAACTCCGTTAGTAACTTGGTTTTGGAAGGTGATAAGTCAGTGGTACAGTTAGGAATCTAAATACCATTGTAAGATGCCAGCTTTGTGCTGATCTTTTAAAAATAGAATGTAGCCTGGTGATAATTTCAGTACAGAAATTACCTTTAAAATAATCAGAATAAAGGCATGGTGTATTTTTTCACTTTCTGCTTGTATTCTGATTATTGAGAAGTCTAGTGGAAATGTGCACATCTAATAGATGAATTGGAGTAAAAAATGCCTTTCTGGTATCATCAGAAAAAAAAGTACAGTACTGAGTATTTACCATGGGTGGTGCAGATTTGATAGTGTCTAGGATGAAAAGCTGACCAGCTGTGGACCTTTAGCCCAGCATAAAATACATATTGTATTTTTTTCTCTCCTCAGCTAATTGCACTTAAACGAAAGATTTTTCCAAGGAGAAGGATCCAAAAAGAAGTTGGTCATGAACGAATCAAAGTGTAGAAGAGCTTTATTTTGGAGATCAGTCTACCTCAAGCTGTGATTAAGCATTTTAAATGTTTCTTTCATAAGTGTCTTTTCTGGTTTGCTGTTTGACTACGTTGATATGAAGAAAAAAAATCATGCACCTACATTCGAATCTCTGCAGTACTCTTCATGGTATAAAAGCTGCTGGAGCTGTGACAATGCAAAATAACAACAAATAATTGCAGGACACCTGTACATAGGCAGTTTTCAACAGATCTTACTTTACAACTCTTAGTTCATGGCCATGTTATCCTTTTTTATAAAAAGGGTTACCTAAATAAATGTAACTGCATTTATTGCAGTGGATGTTGCCAACTAGATAAAATGTTGGAAGGAAAAGTCGTTTGGGATCAGCTTAAGAAATCCTTGATCTTGCATTCCAAAGCATTTTGCAAATCTCTGTCACTGCTGCTTTTTTTAGCCTTCTGGGGAAAATTGAGAATTATGTAACTTGTCATTTAAATTTAGAATACATTTATAGTTGTTGACATTCTTTAAAGCACAGTGACAATTCATCTCCCTATTTGTAGTGTATAATTGGGATTTGAAAGAAAGGTATGCTACTAAAAAATGACACACTAACAACATCTAATGGTTTGTTTGAAAGATGTTTTATATCTGGTGTATTATGGTCCAAAGAATACACAAAGAAATGGTGTTATTTCTTGGCTTGATTACAAAGAGAGGTTGTAATCAAAGGAAAATGATCAAGGTAAAATATTTTACAAGCATTGTAAATCAAAAAGCAAAAGTGCCTCTATATGAATGGGTAACAAATTGTTTCAAAGTAGAAATGTATGGGGAGCAGTGTTTCACTTCATAAAACAATATTTGTACTGACATACAAAGCTGTGGTGTTTTTAAATTTCACAGGGTTTGGCCCTGTATTTTGCCGAGATACTGGAGTAGTGTGGTTTTATGTGGGAAAGGGTACTGAATCTTTTCAAGCAGAAATTTTTGGTGGTGTATCTTCACTTAATTGTATTAGCAGTATTCAAAAAGCATTAATTTTTGTAATCGGATGATGTACAAAATGTATGTGCATATGTATTGTAAGATACTTGGCTTGCTTTGAAATTAACTAAAACGCGATGAAAGTTTTGTCTGCCGTTTCTGTTTCAAAGTCAACCAAAGCGCACACATCTTGGTAAATTAGCCAGGAATCTGTATGAATCTTTACGTCAAAACTTCTTATTTTTTTCCGATAAAAACCTTGCAGCTTTAATGATTCGAGAGTAATTTGAAGCACGGCTCCGTTCTGAAAGCGGGATGAAGCTGTCGAGCAGCGTGAGGATCAGCAGGCCGTGCCCGGCCCCGCTCCTGAGGGCGGCGGCGCCGCGGCCCTGCCGCTGCCGTTCCCGTTCCCGCCCTTTCCCGGCGGCGGGAGGCGCTGAGGTGGCGGCGGCGTGAGGGCTGCCAGGGGCCCCGGGGCTTTGGGGTTCCCTCCGCTGCGACGGGAGGTGCGAGCAGCGCTGTTCCTGCCGCCTGTGCGTCCCCTCAGGCTGCAGCTGAGGGCCCGAGTCTCCCTTGCTGCTCTAAGGTGGGTCCCCGCGGTGAAAAGCCCCGCACTCGAAATTCACACAAGCACCGGTTTGTTTAATGTCTTTTTGGGGCGGGGTGGAAAAAAAAAAAAAAAAAAGAGGTGAGTTTCTCTAAAAAGCACTGTTAAAATACTCATCTGTGGATTGAAGACACTCAGATCGGCTAAAACAGGTACCTACACGGGATGGGTGGGGGCTGCTTGGGCTTGTGAGGTGGCAGGATTGTTTTACACCTGGCTGAGGGGGACTGAGAAGTTCTACTTTGTAAACTGATTTTTAATACAAAGAAAAGTGTCAGTATGTCAGATAAAACAGATGCTTGCAGTTCAAAGTTAAAGTGCCTTGACAGCACAAGGACAGGCACAGCTAGACATTATGGACCAGCACTCTCCTCCTTTACATCATGTACTCAACAGTCAGCAGTTGAGAAGCAGAGTAAGTCTTGACAATTTTCTCTCATTTGAGGATAATTCTAATGCAAAGGCTTTTGATTTTCCAGTCAATAAACACACTTGTTTTTCAAGACACTTGTAAAATCTAAAATTCTACATGCTACGTAGAGAAGCATCGATGTCGGTAAAAGCTCGGTATTAAAATGTACTCTTTCCTTAGCATAGTGTGGCCATGTTTGTACAGATCCATGGAATTTGCAATTAAAAAAACATTTTCACAGCGATTGACAAATAACTAAAAATAAAAAATCCAACAAAAACACAAATAGGAAACTGAGGTGTGTGAGAGAGTTGATAATGTTGGGGGGACCTCACAGTCCTTGAAATTCAAAAGATTGTTAATGGAGTTCTCAGTTTCCATGTGTGAACTTAATTTTTAGGTCTGTCCCTGCCCTGGCTTGTGGAAAACCTACTGATATTTCTGGCAGTGTTGGATTGTGTCTAGAACGAGAGGTTTACGAAAGTAAATAAATGAATAATTTTTTTTTTTAAGAGGGTAGTCTATGTGTAAAATGTTTGCCAGTGTAGAAATAGCATTACTTACATTATAGAATGCAGAGGTGTAATAGCTATAAAGAAAGCTAAATTGGAATCTGGAAGTTGTTCAGGACTTTAAAAAATGGTATAAGCATATGTATATTTGACTTTACATGTGGGATGGCTTGTAGGATTACATTGTTCTCTATGGTTTATCATTTCTGTTCTGGACAGTAGAATATTGGCATAGCTTTTGGGGAATGCAGTACTGGATATGACAAAATGTGTAAAAAACCTTAATGGAAGCTAAGCTGGCAGACATCTTAAGAAAATGGGTACTTTATCTTTTTTTTTTTTTTTTTTTTCAGCAGAATCAAGTATGTTCCTAGTAGTCCTGGCATTTTTTAACATGTTTTTAAAGTATTACTGATGGGTAATGCTGTGGAATACCTCAAAACTAAGCCACTTTGACTGCTTGCATATATTTACAGGTGCAGACTGTTAAAGAGATACCCATAATAGGTGCAGGTAAGCATGAAAACGTATTTATTTTCAATTTATTGTGAAGGAAGTTATGTCACAAATACAATATACTGTTTCAGTAGGAAAAGATCTCACCATGGCACCATCAGGAAGAAAGCATGGAGGAAAAGCTGGTAAACCAGCACAGGAAGATCAGACCATACCTACTTTTGACTTTGAGGAGGAAAGAAAAGAACTGAGTGGATCAGAGGAAGATATTAGAGAAGGTGCTTATAAGAAATTTTTAGGACATTTGTAAAATGTGAATCTTATCACATTTGTGACTATGAAAAGAAGGGAAGAACTTCTGAGTCAGCCAGGGACTGAGCACAGCGTGGTTTGTAATGCCAAAGACCACCAGGCTCCTACTGTGTCATTTTGATTGGTAGTTTTCAAAATAATATAAATATTTGTGATTTTTCTTTTTAAAGGTGCAGAATTACAATACTTTTTTACAGTGAATTCAGATTGGACTTTTATAAATTTTTATGTTATTTTTAGCTTTCTGATGATTGCTGTATTGTGAGCTGTGAGTAATGGTGTAGTAGTGGACAGAGAAAGTAAAACTGTTTGGGACCAGGGTAGAGAACTCAAAGCGGTGCCAGCTCCAGTCTGGCCTTGCAGAGCCATTCACCACCATCCTTCAGCTCCAGACTCAGAGTTAGGAGCTGCCTGTGTTACTGATGGGAACTGACCATGAGACATGGCCAGGGAAATGGCATTACAGAAAAGTAATTACACTTGTAATAACTCAAACCACCAACACAAAATGTATTTTTGTAAATATTTCTATACTCCTTCTTAAGGTGACATACCAGTAATGGACAAGCATGGAAAGAAAAGACCTCTGGTGACTACTCATGTGGTTCCAGATGATGTGGGGTAAGGTTAGATGTTTGGGGGCTTTTTCCAAAATAAGCAGGTCTTAAATAGAGACCAATTTCAGTTATTCACTATGCTTATTTGTGCCTTGTTTGGGTTTGGTTTGGGGTTTTTTAGTATTTGATTAAAAAAATCAAGTGACAGATAATACAGTAGTTGTAGGTAAAAAAATAATTTAAAACAAAACATTTTAAAACAGTAACTCTTCCATTTCTTTGTAGTTTCTTTTGAACATGCAGAAAAAAATTAACATATTTGTGTGTTCTTAAAATTTGTTTATTTTAAAATATTACTTGTTTTATCCTAAATTGTTGATAATGTCATTAAATCCTATTAATTTTTTTCTTCTCATTTTAGTTCCTTGAAGATATTACTAATACTTTAAACGATCCACATATTGCATGAAAAAGAAATTATTTTACAGATAAATCTTAATTTAGTATTCATGGGCAGTGAATAAATATTAATCAAATGTAATATTCATGGACAGTGTAAATGGAATAAAAAAGTACATGCTAAAAGAGTGTTCAAGCAGATTATAACTGTTAGGTTGAAGATACTGTATTGTATCTTTTTACTGTACTGTAACACTGCATTACACACTGGTGTTACCATCTTAAAGATGCTGTAAAAACAGCCCTGAAATTATTTGCCATGGGATTTTTTACTGTGCCAGTTATGCTAACTGAGAAGGACTTATTTTCATTTGCTGTTCCAAATACCCATTTTGTTTTCTTTGTCATAGGGAATAATCAGTTTTACTTACTGACTCCCCTTATTCAAGGCACGTTAAATGCCTCTTTATATAACAGTGCTTCTTTACTGGGGACTAGCTAAGATTCTAGCATTTTATTAAAAATAAAAAAGGCAAATTAATCTGAAAAAGAAACCTCTCACAGGAGAAGAAAAGGAATAAAATTATCTTATGGCAGTGGCAGTTCTGTTACTGCTTAGAAGTAATAGGCATGTGTATAAAATTAGTTCTAAGCATATTCAACAGGTCTGAAGTCAGAAAATGGGCAAATAAAAATCTGAAACACTGTTTTGTAGGGGTGAAGTACAGAATATGTTGGAGAGATTTGGAGGTAAGTACATTTACATTCTAATAAAAATAGTTGCAGAGTTGGCAGTAATAACTCACCATTAAAATAACTTCCGAGATTATGTAAAATGACTAGTCTCTGTAGCACTTTTCAGCATTTCTGAATAAAGCCAGTTTTCAGGAAAAAAGAAAAGTTATATCTAAGGAGAGCAAAGGGAAAGAAGAGGAGGGAATATCTGCATATAAATGAGTCACAGCTTGTAAGTGTAGATAATTGCAAAAGAAAAGGGAAAGATGCATGAGTGCTTTGGATAATCAATTTTAAGATGAAGTTTAAGAGGTAGTAAATATATTGTAGAGAAAAGGGACAATAGCAGTTTGCTGTTGTTCTCACTCAATTTTTTGTTACACTGGCATAGAGGATACTGGAGATGGCAAGACTTGAGTGAGAAATAAGGGAAATGTAAATGTCCATGTAAGTAGCAAAAGAGAACAGTTCCAATTCTAGACAAGCAATTTTGGAAGTAGAGTTTAGTTGTGATACAGAATGAGAGAGCAGTCTGTACTTAGCACTTCCAGAAATCTAGAGAACAGGGAATCAGCAGGTCAGAGAATTTCAGCAGTCAGAAGGAATATGAGTTTCTAGAACAGCCAGATAACGAGGGTCAGTAATGCCTGTCATCCAGTGATGAGCAATTTGTGTGTGTCACTCCGCAGGATTTATTACAGTCATTATCAGATCCTCAGGTGGCTTTACCTCGTTAAATTACCAGCTGAATTCTAGATAGTGACAGGATAGAGCAAAAATAGTTTTAACATTTGTAAAGAATGAACAATACCCTTCACAGAGTAAGCAAACATCAAAAAGCCGTGGAAGGAAGGGAAACCATCTTAATGCCAGCATTACACACTCAATAATACTTTCATTGTATGTAATAAAAGAAACCTGTACAGAGTCATTACTTGCATGTCAAATTTAAGGTGAAAGAGAAGCTTGAGTAACTCCTTAATCCACAAATTAGGACTTTCGGCTGTCACAAAATTATATATTTTGCATTATATATTAGAATGTTATTAGAGATCTGGCAATTCAGATTAAAGCAGGATTTCAATGCTAAAAAGTTATGATTGTCTGTAATTTAAGACTCAAAAAAGGAAAGGAAGGGAGGATGGAAGGAGGGAGAATGAATGGATCAGAGAGAGGATGCTGTCTGCACAAAATAGTGGGTTTGGCATTAGCAGAGACAGATGCCTCAGCAGATTAGAGAAGTTTGACAGATGTTTCCTGAAATCTACAGTGAGAAAGGAAATAAATTACTGTATTAATCTTAAGCTGTGACTTGATAAATCTCCAAATGTAAATTGAACTGAAACAAACACAGTAACTTATATTAATACTGAAAAAGTACTGTCTCTCTGAAGTATAAAAATAGTTATTCATTCATTCAGTATGTGCACAGGAATAGTAACCACATACTAACCTTAATTTATTTCTGAAATTCAAGAAATTTGCATATGACTCTGAAACAGGTGTTGGTTAGAGCGTGTGACAGGCATAAGGAAGCTGCGTTCACACCAGTGCCACCAGCAGGCTGAGGGACATCACCACATCAGTCCAGATCACAGCAGCTTCTTGTTGCTAGAACACACGTCAAAGTGTAACTCATCAGCCTTTTTAATGCATATCCAGCATGCCTAATTTCTGAATATTCTTTGGCTTTCAGCTGACATTAACAAGGCTCTCTTAGCTAAGAGGAAAAGATTAGAAATGTACACAAAAGCCTCACTCAAAACCAGTAACCAGAAGATTGAACATGTTTGGAAAACGCAGCAGGAGCAAAGGTGACCTTTACTCTTGGTTTTCAAGCCTATGGAACTAGATTCCCTTCTGGGTCACACAATGGATGGCTGGTCTGTCGCCTTGCAATAGCAAGTACTGTGTCTGATGTTAAACATCTGCCCAGGGCCTCTGCTGCCTTCCGTTGTGTCCACTGTGTTAATCTGACAGTAAGTTTAGCACAGTCTCTATTGAACAGACAGATCTATGATTTGGAACTCTGAGAGCAAGGTACATTAAAGAGTGGGGCTTACTTTTATCTTTATGGAAAGTAACCTTTGATGTTATTATGTATTTTAAAACAATGTATTTTAAAACAATGTGGGGGTTTCTTTTCTCACTTTGGAATTTTCTGTTTCTACCTGAAAACTGAAAAATGTTCAGTAAAACTTTAATATCATTCTGGTTAAGATAGTAAATAATTTTCACCTTCCTTAACATTCCTCGCACCTCTTAAGGCATATTAATTACTACATCTGATACCAGAGAGCAAAGTGAAAAAAGAGCTAAAAACTAAAAGTCAGCAATAGTTGTAACTGTCTTGGATTTGTTCTACATTTATTTGTATTTGAAACTTGTACGGACAAAATTTTAAGAAATGAGCTTATCCGTTTTGTAATGTAAACACCTTGTGTTTAAGCAACCACCGTATTTGAATTAGAAAAACATGGTAAATCTCAGAAAACCTGACACTGTTAGGAAGAAGAGTTTTTACAATTTCTTTTTAACGAGTATTTTATGGGAGTGCTGTCTCTCTATAGAGACATTCCACATCCACTCAGTGTATGTGTGCGTTCAGTTTTTAAACATACAGTATTTAAATGGGGTCAGATGTCAAAGTAGCCTATTTCTTTATCTATGCCAGCTTTTATTCTAGTCCATGTGTATGTTGAACCTTAGCTTTCCTTGTAATTCCCTGTAGCATTTGTCATACTTACAGACAGTGTCTGTTTATAGGCAGAAGCTCAATCACGAGTTCTCCCAGCAGTTCCTGACTTTATTTCAGCAGTGGGATGTAGATGTGCAAAAGGCAGAGGAGCAGGAAGAAAAACTAGCGGTGAGTTTCCAGCATGGTGTGAGTTACACTGTATTTTCCACAAGGAGGGAATATTGTTGTTTTGATACTCAAGAAATGTAAAAACACTTTATGTAGTTTAAACATAAATATATGATTGTTTAAGTTTGGGAAGAGAGGTGCATTTATAAACTTTATTACAAGTTTATAAACACTGTTAAGTGATCCCTTAGGCCAGCATATGGCTTGAGAAAAGCAAAGACCATTTAAGGAGAAGAAAGACATGTGCTGTTTCTCTCCATCCATAGTCTTTGGGTTCAGGGAACAAAGGAATAAAGGAAAGTAGTTGTTTTTTAGCATACAATCCTTAAAAATATGCCTGTATATAATAAATGTAAGAGAATTTGATCACTGAAAGAGGATAGGAGCTACACAATGGAAAGTAAACATGTGCTGTTGCTCTGTGCTTCCAACACATTTGCAAGGTTTGCTTTTCCCTAGGTAGCACATTCCTCTGGGATACCCTAAGAAGCCGTGGGGCATAGCACTCCTCATGGGATTTTACAGGGATAATTCAGGCTGTAAGAGACCTCAGGAGGTGACTTGGGGCTTAATCCAGTCTTCAGTCTTACTTTCACTAATAAAAGCTAGGGTAACTTCTCCAGGCAGAGATTCACCTTACAAGGCACAGATTTCCAATAAAGGCAGATTTTCTGATTCTGAAAAATGAAACTGGTGTGCTGTCCAAGCACTCTGCTTAACAACTGATGGAATTATGTTTTTCTTTTGCTTCTGCTTCAGAATATGCTTCGTCAGCAACAAAAAGTTTTTCAACAGGCAAGAATAGTTCAAAGTCAGAGACTGAAAACCATTAAACAACTCTATGAGCAATTCTTAAAGGTAAATCTTTTTCTTGGAAAGCAGCTGATCCTTATCATATCACTTAAGAAAGCTATATTAATTCTGTGTTTCAAGTTGTTAGGTATTTCTTTAACAAAGTAACTAACATACTAGACAGCAACCAAAAAAACTGTTTTGAGTACAACCACACAAAAATTTTACTTTTTTAGTTAAAGGCGTTCCTCACAAGAGAAAATCTGTTCCTTAATCATTTTCATGACCCTTTGCTGGAACCTATCCTGTACGTCCATGTCTGTCTTGTCCTCAGGAGTCTGAACTGGACCCAGCACTCCAGGTGCTTCACCAGCTGCATAGCCCCCAGTATACAGGGCAGATTCAAGTCCATCAATTTCTGACAAACCTTATTTCAGTTCAAGTAATTTCCTAGCTGGTTTTGAAATTTCAGTTATGATAAGCTTGGTGTTTGGTTTGGGTTTTTTTCCAAGTTTGGTAGTTGATAAAAATAAATCTGAAATGGAGCAACTCTTAGTTTAAAATAGTCAGAATTTACTGAGTATATTACAGAAGCATTAATAAATAATAACTGTTCCAAAATGTCAAAAATGTCTTCATCAAAGAGGAAAAACTTAACAGAAGGTCAAGTATTAGTTTGATTTTTCTCCTCAAAAAAGATCAAAAGGTAGAAGTCAAACCTCAAATAAACTTAAATAAATACAATTTAAGGAAAATGCAACTAGACACATACACAGAGGTGAGTGTAATTGTATGTAAAAAAGGGAAGATAACCAGGGAGTTTTATTTGGCTTATTTGGGGAGAAGTGTGCGAAGAAACGCAGTGGGGTTTATACTCCTCACTTCAAGTCCAGCAGGGTTGTCATAATATTGAACCCCTAGAATTCCTGACACATGTCTGTTCAATCTCCTCTTGTAGAACTGAAATGTAGAAAAAGTAGCTGAGACCTCACAGAGGCTGACTGGAGGGCTCTATCTTCTTCCCAGGGTACATACTGTTTAAACAGGAATGTAGACTGGAGTATGAAGTCCTGTATGATTCCTCTGCCAAGTCTGTGATAAACTCATCAATTATCTATGATCACTGTAAAAATTAAACTGTAGTATGAATAATTACTAGTTTGTTTGGTTGTTTTAAATTAACTGCTTGACATTGAGGAGTTCTGAACCAATATTATCCTTAACTTCAGAGCATGGAAGAGCTGGAGAAGAGCAATGAAAATCTTCTGGCTGGTGCCCAAAATGAACTTCGCAAGGAAATGGCGATGTTGCAGAAGAAGATTATGATGGACACTGTAAGTATCAGATCTGTGAAGTTAGTTAAATGCAAAAATAGAACATTCAAGTCATTTGACATTCATTTAATTCAAAGGAATCATATTGATACAGCATTTGTTCAGCATTATCTCCTTTTCTTGTGACAGCAACAGCAGGAGATGGCAACTGTTCGCAAGTCTCTTCAGTCCATGTTATTCTGATGGCTCAGTGGAGGAGCAACATGTACCTAAGTAACACGATACAAGTACAGGCATTAGAAGGATGTTGAGATTTAAATGTTTCAAGGTTCCTATTAAACTCTTTCCTGAATTGTTCTAATCTTGTCTGTTCATGTTGTAAGAACATATCTTAGTAAACTTTTATTACTGGGGGGCAGTATGGACCCCAAACTGTTCACTGTCTGTTCAGTTGATTTTTTGAAAATTTCATATCCACTTCCAATAGCATTGGACTGTTTAAATTGTTTCACTTTTTTATAGGAAATTATAACAAGGGGAATAATTAATGAAATGTGCATTACCCAGATTTTACATAGTAACTTGAGGCTTTTAGGTACATTGTGCAAATAGAAGCATTTCTAACAAGCTGCACGTTGTCACAGTTTCAATTAGTCTGCTGATATATTAGCTGTTACAAAAATTCACAGGGTATGACATAGCTAAGATAGAATTGTTTAATGATGTGTATTACGGCAAATTAAATTTTGTTAACTCTTTTGTTATTCTAGACATTGTAATATCGCTGTGTTAGTATGAGATTTATAAACTGCTGTAATTTGTCTAGAAAGTAGTTGGGCTTTTTTAGTTAAATTATGAGCTTAATGTATCCACTCAAGTAATCATAATTAAACATTATGCATTTTGGGGTCTACTTTTTGTAGAACCACTGCTAGAAGAAACCTACGTCATTTATTTAGTAGAGGCTCCTACAAGCCTTTGAGATGGAATATTATTTTTTTTGCAATTCCAAATGACTAGCAATTTAGGGAGGCCTGAGTTTTAAGGGTAAAGCATTTATCTTTCATGTATTGCATTACAGTAAATAAGTATAAACTAAACAATTGGCTTAGTGCACATGCAGTTTGTTTTTACAGAAAACCATTACACCTGAATATCTACTTCTAAAAATTAGATAGTTGCCAACATATTTAATGCTTTGATTTAATACAACAGTAGATAAAATAAACATCCACACACCCATGCACACCAAATGTGATGTTGTCACAACAATGTGTTTCAAAACCGTATTTTCGTCTCAGTCTACAAGCATTTTGAGTCAGGTCATTTGATGGTGGTTCTCCAGGTCTGGAAGCCAGATTAGTGAAGGCAAACTTGCAGTAACTTCAGCTGTTTGGTTGTAACGAGTATAGAACTTCTTGTTCTGCCCCTGCCGGAATTCAGGACAGGAGCAAACATCTGAGTTTCACTGCTACGGCGCATGAGGGAATATGGGCCTCTCATGGGTAACCAGTAACAATGCTGGTTTGTAATTACTGAATCTCAGCCCTCTAAGGCCAGTGACAGGAGGCTATGAAATAGGTGACAGGTTCTACCTCAGATCTTCAATAGGGGGTTATTTGTTAGCATTACCTCCTGCTTCTGGTTTTATTTGTTAGGTATTGAGTCATGGTTCTGGTTTTCTGAGTGATTTCTGTATTAGTTTCCTATTATCCACATACCTCAATCACATCCTCAAAACTACTTACACCTACTATGCCAGGACACAGTTTTGACTGTTGTCACTCATTTCACTTTTAAGATGTTGCCTGTGTCTTTTCATCAGAAGGTTAATTTGCTTACAGTATTCAGCCAAAGTAAAATGGTCATTACCATCATCTTTTCTATTTGACCATGGCCGGGGTTCAGGCTAAATTCACATGCAGATGCTGTGTCATTTCCAGCCTCAAACAGGAGTAGTAGGATTCATTCTGATTTTATATTAGTCACTTTGAGTTGTAGTCCTTTGGCAGTAACTGTTAACAGTTACAGAGCCTCAAAATGATCATTATATTCTTCTTAGGCAGGAGGGTGATGGATGCTATTTTATTTCCTCCAGACCAGCAGACAATACACCACTTTAAAAGTTCCTTGAATGCCTCAGGAAGTATTTTTGAACTACTAAGCAGGTAGGAAGCTGCAGTTGGTAGTATTTTTAAAACAAACCATGGCATTCTTTATTGGACAGTTCAGGAAGGACTTCATTAACTCAGAAGCTCAGGTACATATCAGCAACTGGAAGGAATAATGCACGCTTACATTCAACAGCTTTTTACATAAACCATATTCAAGTAGTACCTCTTGAAAGGAGCTTAAGCTTATGCATGGGGTTTGTGTGCAAGTAATCAATTTTTCATACAGATAACAAGCTACTTTTAATTCAGCTTTTCTATAATGGCAACAGCCCTCTTGTTTGATATATTATGTTACCAGTGGGTCTGTTCTTAAAGAAAGGAAGAAGTAGATATTGGGCCTGAGTTCCTGTTCTGGAGAGTTTTACGTTATGGTTCAGTTTTGTGCCCTTTTCTTTGGATAAAATACAGTGGTAGCTACGAGACAATAGGATCAATTGTAAGGTAAATGAACACAGGGATAGCAAAAAGACCAGAGAGGGAAATACAGAAGGGTGGGCAGCAGTGCTGGAGCTACAGGCATTGGAGTTTATCAATGAACTTTGTCCTTCACTTGCATAGGCTTACAGATACAAGTTAGGGTGCCTAAAGTTAGTCCTCTCCTTACACAGCTAGCTGTAGTGTAGATAAGGATGAAATACAATGAGACTGACCTTACTATGACCACAGAACCAGAAACTGGCCTTAAAACTTTAGCTTGCACTTTCTTTCATGTAGTAGCAGTAGGTTATGTACTTAGATACTAGAGAATGCATGAATTCTAAAGGCACTCATAACAGTACTTTGAATCAGAAGGAAGTTTTCCTGAGGTGTACCTCCTTTATCTACTGGTCCAACAGCTTGTTCCTTAGAAGTACCAGAGAAGAGATTGAGTGATTTTTAGGCCATGGCTGCCTCATTTTACCAGTGTTAATAATGCAGGATTGAATTCATTGGTACATCTGACAACCACTTCAGAGCAGTTCCAACAAAACTTTAGAACCTAATGCTACAAGATTAGACATGAAATTTCTCTTTGAATTCTGGCTGGTAGCACCTTGGTTTGCATCTGCATTCACCAGAAGATAAGTACAGAATTATAGTTACTTAATAGGAAATGGCAACATTTTCAAATGTAGTATTTGTGATCTGAAACACAGGGAAATACATACTGGTTCAAAAGTACAACAGCATCTGCAGAACTTTTTACCTACTAATTCTAACATCTGGTAATGTCTGAAACACAGTGAACTTTCTCATAAAACTTTTCTTCAAAAGCTTAATCTGTCTTCCCAAAAACACAGAGGCTGCTTCATTCCCCTAACTGCTTCTTCTCTTGTCCTTGACCTATTTAATCAGTCATTATGGTTTTGAACCTGCTCAGGAGCTTGATGAGATGAAATTCTGAAGACATGTATATGAAGATGAGCGGCAATCTGTAGGCACACACCACTGGCATATCTCAGCATATCAAACAAGGATATGAACTTCAAAAAAACAAAACAGAACAGATTAAAAAAAATCCATTTTTTAAAATTGTCCCTACTATAAATATGCTATACTTTAATCAGAATTTATCCAAGTGACAAGCATAACATAAATACATCATTGTAACACACAGCTACAGAGTGGTCTAGTTTAGAATTAAAAATAAAACCATCACAAAACTCCAGCATCCTGACAGCACTAAACGCTTACAAGATCTGATAAAAACACATTTGTCTGCAGTTCACAGAACAACTTTAAAAATCCACATGGACTAAAGCATAATTCCAGGAGAGATTTATAAATTTACTTTCATTTCTCTGTTCCAAGGAAAGCAAGCCAGTCAGCTCCCAAAAACATTTACTTGGTACCCAGTACTCTCTCTGCAGTAACAGCAGAAATGTGAGGAAGTCAGAAATGGCAGAAGAGAATGACAGGAACAGTTCTCAATCCATTCCTTAAAGCATGGTCCAAACAAAAAGTATAAAACACTTACCAATGCTATCCACAGAACAATATATTCATCAATGAAACTGTTGAAGTACTGGTCCAAAAACAGAAGTCCTGGCCCAATAAATGCAGAGTCCTGAAGACAAATTTCACTTTTTGTCATGTGAGCCACCTATGTTTGAAAAAAAAAAATTAAAAAGTGCATCCCTGCAATATTGGTGTAACTACAACAAACAGGCATCACATTCTTGCCCAGCAGTATGCTCTTGGAAGTTACATCTATACCCACACATTTCAGCTATCTGCAGGGGCTCCCAACTCTAGTTTTCCAGCACTGTATTCAAACAGTAAGACTATGCAATTGTATTACTGAAGACAAATACTATGAATTTTTTTTTTTAATTTTGATTTTCCCTAGCCAAAAGTTAACTAGGAAGCAGACCTTTCCTTAGGTAGCAACACTTATTCTCACTGTTTAGTAAGGAAGTCTGTAGAATACCTATTTTCTAGTGTTTGAAAAATGTCATCCTTGGAGAAAAAATAAAAGCATCTGGCTGGATTACTGATGTAAGGAAATACGTAGTAAGGCAACTTTTTTTACTCCATTGAGGAGTGTTTTATATACAAAAAAAGACGAAGACCAAAAAGACAGAATAGAGACAGTAAAGTTTCTCTCTTCATTTTAATGATCACAGTAAATTCTGTTTCAGATAATTAAAGGAGAAGTCACAGCACTGTTAGTAAGGCTTAAGAGACCACAGTTAGTATGTTAACGACAGACAGTAAGTGCATTTCTAGGAATAAGTTAAAACTGAAAGTCCTAACCAGTCCATTCAACAACTAATACATGTTTTCATCGGTGTCACATATAATCTCTCTGTGGAACCCTGAGTCTAGTTCAGTGCATTGAGCACAATGAATCTGGTAATACAGGAGCAAAGCAAAATGGGAAAACTGTACCCCCTGATCCAGTAAGTGTTTAGCCAAGAACCAGATTAGTTTTAGGAGGTTTAGGACTGACTTACCACCAACTTCTGTGAGATTTTGGCATTCACAAGCCCAAATGTCAAGACATACAGGCAAGAATGTTTTTCAAACAGCTGAGTTGTGGACTTTTTATAAATTGTAATGGCCAGTGTGATAAGCAGTCCAATGTGCAGGCCTGGTGAAAGAACACTTGTTCCCTAAGACATAAAGGGATGGAAAATTTGTCTTAAACTTCAGTCATATGGTAAAGTCCAAGTTTTACACATATTTCAAATCCCATTAAATAAAACCAGAGTTGTCAAAACTTGTCAAAATCCATTAGTATTATGCCACTGCTCCCAATACCCTTTGCAGTGACCACTAATCAGTTTTTTAGGAAAATTCACTGCTGGTTCCCATGGCAGAAGAAATCCAGTAACAAATGGAGAGAAGGCAGATAATAAACTTTGCTTTAGCCATCTAACACTCATATGCCTGTCTGCTTAAAAGGTTAAACAAAAAAGCCCTTATGGATCATCTGAAACACAATAAATTATAGGCATAAATTATTCAAACCTAATTTGAATTTTTAGAGCAACTTACTGCTATTGTCGATCCATTCTTTCCAACCCCTCCACCAAAGATGACACGGAAGTAATTGAAAAAAGAAAGTGCTGTTCCACACAGGATGCCAATAACTGCAAAGAACTTCAGTTCTAAGCCCAGCAAAGGGACCTTAGCAGAACACAAAAGAAACAAAAAAAAAAAAAAAAAAAAAAAAAAAAAAAAAAAAAAAAAAAAAAAAAAAAGAACAAACAAATCACAACAAAACAAGAGAAAGATATTAAAAGTTAAGCACATAACACCTTTTTTAAGAAGTGATTAAAGCAGCCACTCTTACCTACTAAACAAATGTTTTATTTGAGCCCTCACTTTCTTGGGAACAAGCTCAGGACAACAGTGTTTGAAGTTTGTTTCCTTACTAAGAAAATAACAAGTATCTTTTGTAATGCTTAAACTCCACTACTGAGTACTTAAGTTCTGACCTTGAAATTCAGCTAGATCTTAGTCTGCTCCTCCTTAATATATTCTTCAAATATTTTCACCACACAAGCAAAAACATGACACAGACTACTGCCATCAATCAACATGATATGGGAGCAGGAAGAGAGACAGTTCCTTCTATTCCACTGGAGAAAACAACACTGGATCCACAGGAAAAACAAACACCATCTGCCTGCTGTGTGCTTTGGTATGTTATTTGTATGCTGTATCTTTGCATATCATGAGACTATTATGAAAAGTCTCCAGATACAAATTTTAATTAAACAGTTACCTTTTGGAATCAACTGCAGTGTCAAGGAAACTTCCAAAGGCAGCAGAGGATTTTAAAAAGAAGTAAGAAATGGAAACTGTTTACTACATTTTTTGAATATATAGTTTTTTGTGATACAGCGCAACTAAAACAGATTCTAATAGTCAGGAAAAAAAAATCATAATTTAAGTTTAATGCACCTACTTTGTTTTCCAACATGAAGACAAGCTTTGTGAAAACAGAAAAAAAAAAAAGACTGGGAAAAGAAAACGAAGTTTAGCTACACATTCCTTAATTGCTGAGTAAACTTTTGAACTAGTTTTCATTTCTATTGGTTATCAATAGTATGGAAAGGTAAGTCTCAGCTCTTTGCACTGTAACCAATCAGAACTATGAATTTCTGAATAAAAGCTGTAGAAAGTTGAAGATCTTTTGATCCTGTCCACTAAAATGAATCTTTTAAGATCAGAATGAAAGCCACAGATATGGAAAAGTTTTGGGACAGAAAACAATGCTTTAAATATAAATATTTACATTTACATGGCTGTGACATAATTCTTAAAAATCAGTACATCTGCATTGATACAAACAGGGATAACTTAAACAAAACCCCCTGGTTTCATCCCACAGTTTCATTAAATTGCAGCATTTAATCCTTAAATTTTAAGATAAATTGTTCAACTGAAATATATGCCTTATAATAAAATATACAAAATATATAAAACCAGAAAAAAAACCTACTTGCTAAAGCTTAAGTATGTGTGGAGTACTAGTTCCAGATCAGAAGTTTGTATGTGGCAGATGGGGTCTTTTTTCCTTATGTAGCTATAAATCTGTGCACAGAGAGTCACACCAATAGATCTAAGTTAACTATGGCATTAAATAACCTACACTTATACAACAAGCTAAACAACATTACACAGCTAGTAGGTATTGATAGTACTTGCACAGAGCAGTTTCAAATACCACAGGAACTGCGGACACTTGATAAGATACTCAACAGGAACTCTGAGCACTTAGCACACTCACCTCATAGTCCCATATTCCTGCTCCTCCATAGGCAGATATCAAGAGCAGCATTGATATGGTGATCTGAACTTCAGTTACATCAATTCTGTGAAAGGGGAAAAAAAAGAGATTTTGTTCAAGGATTTTTTGCTGTAAGTGTAAAGTGTGTGTGGAGGGAGGGGGGAATAAAACCCCCTGTAACTGTACTTCAAATGATATAAATATATATAGAATATTACTTTCCTTGACTGAGAAAGTTACTCTGTATGGAGGTACACATCTCTGGCTAAGATTTAAAATGAAAGCTATACTCCTTTTCTGAAGCAAGCTAAATATAATTTTGAAAGGGGGACTCTTTAATGAATACACTGTTAACTGTGAGAATTCTGTACAAATTTAGAGACAAGTTGATGTGTAAGTGTCAAATCAAGGTTTAAGGTAAGCTCACAGAGAATGCAATCAAACATTTCCACTGAAAGCACAGCATATAAAAGCAGACACTAGAACAAGCAGGCTGGGAAAGAAGGGATTTCTTTAAGCTTTCTATCATAAAAACTTGACAGATCCAGCCTGCAAAACAAGGGAGGACTGAGTCAGTGGAAGGTAAGCATTTGCCATATTTCTGAGAACATATAATTGCTATCTTGCTTTCCTCCATAAAAGCTGTTTTAGGAAAGATGGCCTTGTATACCATATGAAGTCCAGACTCCATATTTCACCTTTTTTTTTTTTTTTCTCAGACAAGATAGACAACTCTTTGTTTTTGTATTTAATTGATGAAACCTCACTTGAAGCCAAGGCTCAAGAAAAAAAAAAATCAGTACTTTTTAAGCTTTAACACAAATAATTAAAATAATGACCAAAGAAAGTGCATATCAAAGGTACCTTTTATGGAACAAAAAATTTTGAGACAGGTATCTTATCTTCATACTAAAGTTACCAGCAAACACTGGTAATGAATGTTCAAGACTTCCTTTAGCAGCTGGAATAAATTTGCTGTTTTAAGGTATTATGGCCAATGTGTATTGCTACTTACTTAGCACATGACCTATCTGCACAGGAAGCAGTGGATTTTTAGAAGAAGATAGCAATCATCTTTTGGGTAATGGAAAACATTTATCTGAACTTGATAATCTCAGTAAAAACTCTCTTCTTTCATCAGACAGATGGTGATAAAATATGCTAAATTTCATCACAATTTTGTGACTCTTAGAGGATCCAGAGTTTAGACTGCAGTTAAATGATAAACTGAGGTGCTCTTCACCTCTTAAAGCCAAGAGAATGGGGAGTCCTCTTCTTCCTAAAGTGTTGCATTCCCTCAGTTTTATTTGCTGCAGTGCTCACTGGACTGTAAGGTGAACCAGTGCAGCCTGCCAGTCCAGTGTAGGCTTTTCACCTTCTGCCCTTTTAATGAAGGGGCTTGAGGTCCAATGACAGTGCCACAGGACAGGGGGGCTGGGAGTGGGCTCTTCCTTCTGTGCCAGGGATGAAGTGTTACATCCACCCTGCCATTGCTGAACTTGCTGGTTACCTTATGCAAAACCACCCACGTGCAAGTGTTCAGAGGCTGCACTCTGTACTATTAACACCAGGATTTCCAATCTGCATTGCCTTTGTTGTTGCTGGTGGGGGGAGGAGGCTCAAACTTGAAGTTGTGCCAAAGTTTAATACTTAATTTTACAGTGGCTCAGACTGTTGGTGGCAACAGACCCCAAATCAGAGTCCAAAGACTCTACCCAGACACTGTACAGTATCCTGTACAGACACAGTGTGACATTATTCAGATCCTTCCTAGCCATCAGTACTAGGAATCTCATTTGTGATTTATTTCTAAAATTGAGTGCTGCTAATTGAGAAATAGCATCAGTGAAAACTTCCATCCATCTTATTAAGTACCATCATCTTTAGAGCACTATACCAATGCCTTCTTCACACCTCTGTGTTTAAGAGAAAGAAAATTTGGAGCCTTGAGAAAAAAAGTGACCTGTTTCCACTGGACAGAAATAAATTATCTCATGGAAAAGTTGTGTCTGTTTAACTTTAAACAGTAACCATGGAACACCAGGCCATTCTGAGCTGTTTGTACTATGCACTGTCATTATGTTAAAGTAGAAGTCACCAACTTTTTACCAAAATCTTTATGTGGTGAAGGAGTCTCACTGCCTTCCCAATGTGGGGAAATCATTCTCATGCTTTTTGCATAAAAGGCACAAAAAGCAGTCATGTCTGCAAAAGGCCAGAGCTCATGGTCTAGTCCACCTCCCTTCAGAGCAGCCTACTGTCATGGACAGAACGCATCCTATTTCAGCCACCACTGTAAAGCAGCCATTTTTGTTTACAGCACACTACGTTTTTTAAAAACAATAGGATATGTAGGCAGGCAGAAGAATTACAGTGGTAAATGTAATAATGTAGTAAAATGCATTACCAGCAAATCAAAAAGAGCTCTTATCAATATCACAGAGACTGCTGCATTTGATGCAATGTGCAGGGATAGCTGGTCACCAGCCTGTGTGCCTGCTGAGTTGCTAAGGCACTTCTTGCAGAGCAGAGCTAAGTAGGACTATGTACAGGTGATTTAGCAAGTGACTGGCATTTGCAGGACAGCCTTCATGTGTCCCTTATTTTCAGTTCTGCTGCCACAGAAGTCTCAGACCTTTTCCTCTTTTCAGAAATAATTATACTAAAGCAAAGCTCATTCCTTAAAACCAGCAAAAGGCCATGGCCAGGCAGTACCCCAAGTATAGGAGGGTGCAGCAATCCCTGCATTATTAGCAGTTACACTGAAATTATTGTCTTCTACATTAATGTCATGACTTCTCCTCCTATGCTGCAGTGAAACAGCTAAAATTGCTATCAAGTCATGAACAGCATCACAGCAGTCTCTAGAACTGACCTAACACAAAACCTAAAGAACATCAAAGCCAGTATGAGCCAGATTTTAAAAAGACCCTCACATAAATGTACGGTAATTCTTCAAGCATTGCCACAGATCTGTGGAACTCCTTGAGGATGCTACGGGTGCAGAGAGTTCATTCCAAGGAAGAGAGAAGATGTCTATGAAAGAGAAACCCATTTTATCAGGGGAATTTCTCTAAAATGCACATGGTTTAGGGTTCCCTGGGGCTGAAACTGTTCTATGGCTGTGAGATTACAAAGGGAGGTACCCAGATGCTTGCTCTGTCCCTACTCCTACACAGGGCACTTGCCTGCAATGTAAACAAGACCTCTCTGGCCTGAGCCTGCACGGTGCTTGTATGGGCTCTGACAACAAATCTGCAGAAAAAAGAGCCAAATGCGTGCAAACAAAGCATATAGAGCTAAAATCAGCTGCTAAAAGAACAGCAGTATTATGCAGAACAGTTCAGTATTATGCAGAGTTTCAAGTTCTTGTCCAGTAAAACATAAGTCTGCAGGATTGGAAGGGGGATGAGAAAGAAGGTAAGAAAAAGAGAAAGCAGGGTGTAAATGAAGAAGAAACGGAAATCAAGGAGCTAGCAGTCTCAGACATTAAGCCACATGTAGTTCTAATGATACCTACTTACTTTCCAAACCTTAGTATGCCTGATACATATGTCTGCCAGTGAGCAGAATAGAACATGAACAGTCCCACAAAACAACAGAAAAAAAACCAGTCAGGATTTGTTCCTAGTCGGATTGCTATGCAGGATCCAAGGACAACGAATACTGAAAAGCAGAAATGAGTATGTTAGTCATATATGCTCTTTGCTGGAAGTTAAGAATGTTAAAAAATATTATTTTTTAAAATAAGAATTTAAAAAACAATAAATAAAAAACATAGGAGATTTTACATCATTCTAACAAAGCAATGCTATGACTGATACTTTACTGAGTAGCTTACCCTCAGGGGCAGTCCTGGCAGGAGAAACCAAAACACAGCACTCCTTTTCTGCCAAGGCAGGGCCCTGCCCTCTAGCCTATAGTGATTGTTCTCCCTCCTCCTGGCCTTGTCATCTCGTGTTCTTTGCAACATCAACAACTTCAGCTGAAGGGCCAAGCTCAGGGAGACTGCAGCTGCACTTTTCTGGGAAGTGACACATAAAGAAGGTAGCAATTCCCAGAGCAACTGTCTCAGCCATTGAGCTTCACACAACTACAGGTATTATTGGCACCACCAGCAGCTCAGTTATGGAAAGTGAAACTCAGCAAGGACTCCCAACTTTTTTAAAACTACTTCTTCTAAGGAATATAAATTACCCTTCTCGTAAGTGCCAGGCTGGATGTCCTATTACCAAAGAGATATTTTGGCACCTTACTCTTAAAGTGGAGTACGTGAAGATGCACAGTTAGGTAAAAGCAGAACACATCTTACCTAAAATCAGCCAAAGCAACTTCTAAAATACCCCCTGTTACTGGCCAGGGATGCAAACGTCAGGAGATGGTGAAGTTATCCTAAAAAACCCTGTTCTGAGCAGGGGTTTGGACTAGATGATCTCCAGAAGTCTTTTTCAGCTTCAACAATTCTATGATTAATCAGCTGCTCCAGAAAACAGGCAACTTTTATAAACTAGGATGGGTGACAGTAAATCAAGGCTACCTGTGGAAATAGAGTCGCAACCATGATCAAAGAGTTCTCCGAGGGGAGAACTACTGTTTGTTCTTCTGGCTTGCTTCCCGTCAATGGCATCCAGAGACTGGTAGATAAAAAGTCCTAGTGCACCCAGGATGTATGCCCAAAAAGGTGCCTGAAAGAGATTCACATAAAAGGTCACCAGGTAGTTCCCAACTTCTTAGGTGATAATCTGTTTCATTAAAGGTAAAATAATGTTTTTATTTTACCACAAAATTGTGCTATTTCTTACTAAATGGAAAACCAAACACCTTGCACTAATATCTACATGGATTGTAGTACTACTGTAATGAACTATTTCAGATACATCAGTGGAACACAGGTCCTTCGAGTTATCTAAACAAAAACAAACCCAAAACTTTGGTCCCTCTTCTGCATCAACTGATCTTCTTTTCTACCTTAAACCCACAGTATTTCTGTGATTAATTGCATTCTTTGTGCTAAAAAATGCTATAAAAATAAAAATAATCTTAAAAAAAAAAAAGTAGTAGCAATGCACTTACTAAAGCTTTCAGCAGTTTGTGTCACAGACACTTAGATGATTTGCTCATATTTACAACATATAGATATAAAAACCCACTAAGTTTTTTACTAAATAAAGATCAGCCTTTAGGGGAAGATATTTTTTCCAACACACTAAAATTGACTACCTAGGCACTTTGGACAGGGTTTTAAAAAATTATGTAATTCACTAAATATGAAGGAGAAACTATGTACTTAATATACATCATCAGTTTCAAACCAAACTGTTACATTAACACCACTCCTAGGTTCAAAGGAACTGTTCTGCAGTCATTCCTTTGAAAAGCACTGTTTTCATATGCACAGTCTGGCTTTGTCTAGGAATTAGGTTTTGTTTAAAGTTATTTAAAACATCTTTGAAACAAAGCACAGACAACATTTTTACTTCATGTAGTTTCCATTTTTCAGTATTTCCCTTAGAATTCAGAAGTACTGTTCACGAAAATGAAGTCAGGTAAAAATGCTGGAAATGCAACTTGCAGGTTGAACAAGAGAACACCCACAGGCAGGCACAGAGCTGAATCCTTTCTCACTCTCTGCTTAGGGACAGCTGCTGTGGGGCTGCTACACCTCTGCAACTTCTCTCCTGCAGCACAAATCGACCAACATGTGTCCATGTGTTTCCTAAGACCAGTAAAGGCTATTAAGCAGATTAGACAACAGATCAGATCTCAGTGTGCTGAGATTTGCCCACACTCAACTAAACCCAGTGTCACTGCTGGGGAAGAAGGGAAAACGGCAGCTGTCAGTTCAAAGGCAGCAGTAAGAATGCAGATGAAGTGCAGCTGCTCCTCTAGACATTCTGATGTCTCATCATCATTATACTCATTGTCTTGAGCTAGAAAAAAAGTTATGCTTCCAGTTAGACTGGTCACAAAACACACTAAGCAGCCACATGCTTAAGGAAAGTCCAGTTCAGAATAGTATTTTTGCTGTTATTTAAGATTTCCTCATGTATTTCAGGCTGGCTGATACACTGTTATCAAAGTCAATTGGTTGGCTGCTTCACCCAGCTTTGAAGGAAAAGACAGCCAAAGCATGAGGAACTCACTTTAGGTGCAAGTTTTGGATTTGTATGCAAATGAAAATCTAGAAAACTTAAAGCATTCTTCAAAGCTGGCAAGGCTGTCTCCTCCCTTAACCCAAGGAAACCAAGAAAAATTGTTATCACAGATCATGTAGGAAGCCTTAAGCAGGTGAAAGAGGATGAGGAAATATTATTATTCCAATGGATATTTAATATGCTGGTATTTGCTAACTCCTGCAGTGATCACACTATAGAAATCCAGGTCGAGTGAGGACAGCAATACAAGTTTGATGTTTAGTGATGGAATTAGTTGAGTTTCTTAGGTTTATTCTCCCTTTTAGTCTAATTAAACAAAGGAATCTTGTCTTGGGGGATGTGATTAAAAAGGGAAGAAATTTTTAGCCAACTTTTGAAAAAGTTTCGCTCCTCTAATGAAGGAAAAGGATAGAGCCTGTGGAGAACAGGAGGTGCCTGTAGCTACCCCAGGGCTGAGGATCACCAAAAGCCCCAGAGAGGCACAGAGAACTAAAGGGTCTCTCATGGCACGAGCTCACTTGGTCTCACACTGTGCAGGGGGACTGCAGCTACCTCCACTTGCTCTCCACCCTTCAAAAACAGAGCTGTCAGTCATTGCTCGGGTACTTCAGAACATAAAAATCCAGTTAGGACTTTGTTGAAGCTGAGATAATTTTAGCTGTGATATAATCCACATACTAAAGTTACCACAGTACATACACTGGCTTTCAGAATAACTTTGTTACATGGAGAATAACAGAGAATCTCAAACACAGCAGCTCCAGACCAATGAGCAGAAAGGCCATGAGAAATCACTGGTTGCACTGCTGTCTTTTAAAGGAGTGTTTGAAAGACACAACCAATTTTATCAGTAATATTTATGTGAAGTGCCACAAAGGTCATCTGCAGTGTGAGGTGTCCTTATGATGACACACTTCCATCAATTATGAAAAGATAGCTTGAGATCTACATTTAGCTTCTTGCAAAGCAAGGTTAACAAAATATATACAAAACCAAACAAATACATCAGCTTTAACTCAAACTTCTCCTATTAGGGCTTTTTGACAAAACAGTAACTTTTTTCCAGTTGCAGGTTATGGTACAGCTATGATCATTCAGGCTGATCCAAGTCTGTCTGCATTAGCTCCAACTGGGACAAATCAAAGCAAGAGTCCCTCAAGCACTCTGTCTGCGCCTTGCTGATCTGGACAAAGGGTGAGCATTTTCATCTGTTTCCCAGTAAGGATCATCTGTATCAATTAGCATCTGTAGCAGATGTATTGGTATCCCCCACAGTTAAAGAGAAAGGAAAAAGATCCTAGTAAGAATAGCATATGTCAGAGAGCTTAGAAACACTATCTGGAACATTTCATCCCTAGGCCTAAACCAGAGTGGTAAGAACCAAAATTCACTTGTGATCATCTATCATTTAGCAGCTCTAATGTTTTAATTGGTAAAACACAGTTTTCCAAATCACCAAAGGTTCCTAATAACCATGGATTTTCTCTGCTATCCACCCTCCTAATACAGCTCCTGCTGCCGGCTCCTTTACTTTCTCACGTGCCTGGCTGTCCATACAGGGATGTCTGATGGCTTCCCACACTGGACCCAAGTAGTTTTCAAATTAGGGAAGTGGGAGCATCTGAGAATGCTGACATGGCTAAGCAGAAAGGTCAGGAGGCTCCCAATAATCATCAGCTTTTCACTGATGAGGTGTTTATTATCTCTGCCCAAAGTTATATCCTGCCCGAGCAAATGTATTATTTGGCCAGACCTAGGTGCTATTCTCACAGAACTAGAAGAGAACAGAAACCTAAGGGGGAGCAGGCAGGGAGGGAGAGGGGGATGCTGAAAGGGGTAGATACTACAACCCCAGAATCCTGGCACACACAGATTCGATACAGCACAATTGGTCATATGCTAACCCAGAGCATGTCAAAACAAAGCCATGTACATGAAGTGTTTGACAGGTATGTGTGACATGCCTCTCCTTCAGGAAAAAAATGGACAGCAGGCATTCTTCTACTTCCATGACTCCACCCCACAAATGAGCATGGACATCTGAAAAACACTACATGTCTCAGGGAAACCTCTTAGAAATTGTTTCAAGCACAGTTCTCAAATGCAGAGAATTCAACAGGCCAAGCTTCTGCAGTATTTAAAGATTCAGTTCCTTAATTACTCATCACGTTTAGCCATAATCTCACTTCCTCAATCTACGCCTAATAGTGTTGCCCTAGTTTACATGGCACCTCTCTGGCTCAGATCCAGAACAGAGGGAGACATTCTGACTGGACTTCCCCCTCTACTCCCTAAACATGGATCATTTCCCACACTTCTGTTCGGCACAAACCACCGTGCAATTGTACCAATAGCAAGAAGAGGGAAGACGCAGTTCAAACCTGAACTACAGCAGGGAAGACAGTATGGATGAAATAAATAAAAATCAAATAATTATTTGTACCACAGTCCAAGTGCATTTCATGCATACCAAGGACTCTGTGCATTCCTTTAGCATCCTCATCTCTCCAACAAGCCCTGTCTGAGAGAGCTCCCATCCTTCTCTGTCAGGATTCCTGTGCCTTCTTACTTCATGCCAAATAACCTCCTTCTCCCATTCACAACTGATCTGTTCCCCTCTTGTGGGTTTTGGCTGAATTTCCCACTCCACTCAGTGCTTCACATTTATTTGCCAAGTCAGGCAATGCTTTTTCCTTCATGCTCTCCCCCCACCCCCCCTGCACACATGCCCTGTTCATACCAGCTGCTCCAGTTTAACTTCTTTTCTGCTTCTCTACTCTCTCCCACAACGCTCAGCTGTGTCCCTGCTGTTTACATAATATCATACCTGTCAATATCTTCCTCTCATTCTGCCCTCTAGCAGGCCTCTTTCATTTTAAAGGTGGTTTGGTTGTTTGTTTGGGTTTGCTATGTTGTTTTTTTAAAAGTTTTTTTAAAAGAGAGAGAGGCAGAGATGGCATCTCACCAATGTTCCTCTCCCTCCGAACAGCTGATAGTAGAACCAGGTGAAGGCACTCAGGCTCCTTCCTGCTCTTTGGTCTCCCTAAATATATGGCTTTCTAAACAGCACATTTCAGCAAGGTATGACACCCTTTTATAAACTCACTACACCATTTCTTGAACAATCCTACAGAGCTAGTCACCACGAGCCTCCCTTCCTTCCCTTAGCTCTCTGCAGGAGAACCCATGGGCCCCTGCCCCCTTTTCCTATCATTGCCCAAAAGGCAATTCCATAATCTTTTCTCTTCCTGTCTTCCTCTGTTCCCAGTTCTTTGCTTAGATCATGCTGTAAGTGCTGCAAGAGTAATTTTCAAATAGTTATAATTCAATACAATCTAATAATTACAGTTAGCATGCACTTCTGTCTGAAATTCTAGCTTGTCAAACCATTCTACAATTACATGACTTTATAAAACAGGGCAGATTTAGACTAAATATAAGGAAGACTTTTTTTTTTTTTTATGATGAGGGTCATGAAACAGTGGCACAGGTTGCCCAGAGAGGTGGTGGATGCCCCATCCCTGGAAACATTCAAGGTCAGAATGGACAGGACTCTTAGCAACACAATCTAGCTGAAGATGTCCCTGCTGATGGCAGAGAGGCTGGACACAATGACCTTTAAAGGACTCTTCTACCCAGCTATTCTGATTTTAGAGAGACCTGTGGCTAATCTTGATGGATTACCAAAGCTAGACTGCTCCACAAGCAGCCATGAAAGCAGAAGATCAAAGTTTCCTTTCTCCTTTTTAAGAATATAATGATGTTTAGTCAGTTTTCTTCCTGGTTTTCCCCAGAAAGGGGAAGGATATGCAAGATTCCCCTGCAAAGATTTATGAATTAACTAGCTGCTTCATAGTGGTCTGCTGGCAGTAGAGCAAAACAATTCACTGTCTTATGGTGGGGATGAAATAGACATCCTCACCTAAAAAGTGCTCCTTTTGCACTCTCATGCACCAGATACACACTGTTCTTACTTAATGACAGCAAGAGTTTTCATTCCTAAATATTTCCTGGCTGTCAAAAAAAAAAAAAAAAAAAAAGGAAAATAGGAACACAACCCAGGCTGCAGACAAAGTAAAAACAATATTTCAGTGCTCCAGAGAACATGAAATGTGCAGGTGGTGTCCTCTCCATCACCACACCTGTATATTGTTTTTATAGATTGCTGTCCTAAATTACAGAGATTAGGAAAATAAAAATGTGCGCCTGAATCATGGTCACAATAATGCCTGAGGGGCGCAACCTGCTAATGGCTTAGCTGTAAATAAGAAAGCTTGTGTCAAAACATGCACTTAGAGGAGACAGCAATGCAAAACCCATGTTCCTGCTAGGCAAGGAAACATTACTGAAGCAGACAATATTTTCTAATTCCAAAACATACTGAGCCAGTCAGTTACAAACTGGCTTTTAGTAGCTACTGATACTGATGAAGATAAAAAGGATAGTGTATAGGGAAATAATGGCTCCATGTTAGGAGAACAAGAGAGCATTTTGTGGTTTGAGACATTAATTTCATTGGGGAAGGGAATAAACAGTAGGAAATCATGGAAATCACTGCAATAGGACAAAGTGGAAGGGGAAAGTACAAACGTACAAACAGGTTCAGAACAACTAATTCAGAAGGCAAAATCATGAGGTGGAAAGTGCCTGTGGGGAATCAGATCTGTCAGTTGCTTTCTAGTAAGTAACCCAAACAGAATCCCTTGCAAAGAAACTGCTAAACCACAGTCTTCTGACAGCTGGAAAGGTATAGATATACTGGAGAAAGATCTCCTTTCTAAGCATCTGCTAGCAGCTGCTCTCTGAGGGATTTCAACTACCAGTCTTACTTGTTTTGGATGGTTTGCTCAAAGACTTTTGTGTTTTCAATAAAGGCTTAACCAACATGGCCCACTTAAGATTGGCTAGGGAATAAAAAACAACCGCATAAACCAACTCAAAAGAAACTCCCAACACCAAAACCCAAATGTGCTTGTTACTTTATCCAAGTCTTCTATTCAGTGCTCCTACCTATGAGACTCTAACAATGTTATAAACAATGGATGTTTGTCCATCAGGTGATCAAGACATGTTCATGATATAAAGAGGTGCTGTTGAAGTGCACTACTGTATCAGTTCAGTCTGTGATTTCAACTATCTTTAACATAACTGTCAGCTCCACCTATCCCTTCCAGCCTACACATCCCAGTGAAAACTACAGAGGAGATATTACAACAGTGCATGCAGCACCTGTCAGTATTGCAACAGTTTTAGCTTTTTCAAAAAGCCATCCAGAAACATGACCTCAACTTAGGCAGAAGACAAGCTGAGTCATTAAACAAGCTGGAGGGAGAATGATGCTTCTAAGTGATGCAGTAAGAGAAAAACAGGGCTATTCTCACAGAGCAGAGGCAAAAACAAAACAACAGGATAAGGCTGGATCCACACTGCATGTTTATAAAGGATATACTGATATTTGAACACAAATATATAGTCCAAACTATAGGTTCTTATAAAATCCATCTTCCACAATTAAAAAAAAATAAATTAAACAGTTCAAACAGAAAAGTTCCTAAAGCCCAACCTAAGTTTTCCTGGAAGGAATAATTCCCTGGATATCTGCAACACAACTTTTTTCTTTTTGTACAAGAGTCCTCAAAGGAAAAATAAGTAAAATTTACTTTCTGCTTTTAGTTTTGAGTAGCAAAGAGAAGAAGCTACAATGAGCACTCAGACACATAGCTGGCACAACTCATATTTTCATCACAAAACTAAGCTAAAGGTAGCAGTACACAAGCATTTTAATTCTGAAAGTGGGACTAGAAGACCACCTGTAGTTTCCAACCATTCACTGTCATTTCTGTCTTCCCTTCTACTGCCTGAGTGCCTCTACCTAGTGATGTGTATTGGGGGAGTGATTAGGGTGAGACCAAAGCTAATTTCGATCTGGATCAGTTTCCTGATATGTCTGCCACAAACACCTCTGCTAACACAAAGGGCAAAGCAACTAGAGAAAAAGAAATGTTCTTCTGACAAGAACATTCACCAGGGTAAAGCTATGGTATTAAAAAAGTCCCAATCAACTGCCAACCTCTGGTGTTAGAATTTAAGCCCATGAGAACACAAGAAAAACAACGGCCACCTTTCAAGGTATTTTACCCACATAAAGCAACTTCCCCCTGCAATTTTCTACTCTAACTACCATAAAGACTCGGCAATGGGAAACTTGCAACAGGCTGGGAAGCTCTGACGGAGCTCCTGAAATTGAGAAACTGTAGGCACTGCAGGTCAAGTGAGAGTAGCACCAGCCCACGTTAACTAATCTGTTTGCCCTCCAGAAGACAAAGCAATTAAATGTTTCCCACACAAGGAGGGATACATTTGAGCAGCTGTCACCTAATGCATCTGCCACCCAGCCCAGCCGCAGCTCTGATGCCCAAGTGGCATCAGCCGCGTCTCCTGGTCCAGCCCAGCCCAGCCCTGCCCCTGGGCACATCCCGCACCCTCTATCACGACCAGCTGCTGTTTCTACGTCCACGTGCCCTGTGTGACAACCACACTCTCGAGGAGGGGGACATTCCCTTCCCAACCAGAGGCATGCATACGGAATGCAAGATGGGCTGTGGGGAAGGCGGGGGTCCCACGCCGCAGGTGAGCCCAGCCGTGCCCTTCGCAGCACAGCGTGCAGTAAAGGCCAAGTGCCCACCACAGCAAAGCCCCGGCCCCACGGGGCCCTCCGGGCAGTGACCGTCGTCCTTCCTTCCACCTGATCCCTACAGCGTTTTGGCATTCCAACTTTAACACCCATCTCCAGCTTGACCCCTGCTGCCCCACAGGGTGAGCCGCGCGTCACCGCTCCCCTGATTTCTGAGGAGAGCCCCGCAGCCCTGCCTTAACCCTCCCTGCCAAGGGACGGGCCACGCGTGTCGCTGCGGTGGAGCCCGAATGACAGGGCACCGCACCCGGGGCGGGCTCGGCCCCCGGCTCCGGGCACTGCCGGGAGGCACCAGCCGGGCCGAGCCGCGGCCCCCGCGCCCGGCGGTACCTGCTCGGTGGCGCTGGGGCAGAAGGCGATGAGCGGCAGCGCCGTCAGGCAGTTCAGCAGGAGGCCGCCCATGGTGATGGCGTTGGGCGCCAGCCCCCGCGGGACCTGCTCCACCAGCCAGCCCCAGTAGGGCTGCAGCCACGGCTCCAGCAGCGAGCGCCCGGCCGCGCTGTAGCGGTGCTGCTCCAGGCGCTTCAGCTGCGCCGGGCTGAGGGGCGCGGGCAGCACCCAGGACACGGCCATGCCCACACCACCGGGACGCATGGCACCGGGGTCAAGGAGCCGCTGCCGCCGCTCGGGGCGGGGCTGAGCCGAGCCGGGGGCAGCGGCGGAAGAGGCCGACGCCCAACAGCGGCTTGGCCGGAGGGGAACGGCCGCCCCCGCCGCGGCCGACGCGCGGCGAACGCCCTCGTCCCCGGCTCGGCTTTGGCTCCTTCGCCCCGAATGCCGGGCGCTCTCACGGCCCCAGTCCCGGAGCGGGCACGGCCCCGCTTCGCCGTGTGGGGCTGGGGATGCCCGGGCGGCGGGGAAGCCCTCGGTCGGGGCGGGGTGCGGCCGGCAGGGCCCGTCCCGCCGCCTCCGCAGGCCGCGGGCGGTCAGGGCCGGTGGTGTCCCCGGGGAGAGGCGGCCGTGCGCGCACCTCTCATCTCGGCGGGGTGAAAGAGTGCCGCTCTCAGCCGGGATTTGCCTCGTTCGTCTTACTTCCCTTTCACAAGTTTTATCATGCAGATAGTGGCCACGGCGCGGGTGCACGCAGCAGGTGGCCAGAAGGATTTTTTGCTGGAGCAAAGCATAAAGGCAGGGTTGGAGCAGCAGGTGACCTCCCTCCTACCAGCAGGACGGGGCAGCCGTGCATGCAGGGGCGTGGCCCCACGGCATCACCCAAGGATCCCTCCAGCACCCAGAGGGGACCCGTTGCCTGGAGAGTTCTGGTGTTAATGTGTTAGGGAGCAGCTGCACACGGTGTTACGCAGGACTTACTTCACATCCTTGGCTTGCTTAGAGAGGGTGCTTCAAAACAAATGTGCCTTTTGAGAAATTGTGGCACATCAAGTTATTTGAATTGGTTATGTGAAGGATTTTAGATGCATCCCTGAATCTCCAGGAAGGTGTGTGGTTTCTGGGTGAGGCCAAGGAAAAGCTGTGTAGCTGAAGTAGAAAGTGCAAAATACAATGGCATCTTCTTAGTGTTGGAAATTCTCTTTTTTAAGTTACTCTGCTGTGAGCCAGAGGGTGCAGCTTTCTGTCCAGACACTGCAATTTCCTGGACAGAGCCGCTTCCTGTTATTCAAAGGGAGCTGATTCACTTCAACCGATAAAGTTATGTGTTTGAGTAGGTTTCTTTATTGCAAGAGTCAGGAATACTTGGCACATGTTAAATGGTGGTTTCCAAATCCCAGTGTGCTGCGCGCATTCCAAGTGCTACATCATTCATCAGCTGATTTAATTTACAGATCACTAAAAACAGTATGGTGCAGTAATTGTCATTAGAGGCTAAAGCAGAGGGGATAGGAACTGTTAGCAAGAGAGAAGTAACATATAACATAGGTTCAGTTACAGCCAACTGGAGAATAGCAAAAGGGAAATCTGACAGATCCACAACCAGTCAGATCCCCAGTTCACTAGAATCACTACATTTGGAAGAAGGTAAAACTCTGTTTCATTTAATACCCTGTGCATCACTGTGGTCAATGAGCATAGTAGAACTGGTATTTATGGAGAGATTGCTCTTTGGATAGCTGGAGGAAAAGAGAAACTGGGGAAAGAAGTGGAGGGGAAAGGGCCTCCCCTTTTAGGGCCACATTAGAGAAAAAGGGCCACATTAGAGAAAAAACGAGATTCCCTACTGAATTTATCGCTGGGCTTGGGGAGCTGTTTGTTTTAATTTCAAAAGTATTCATCAACAAAGCATAGAATAAGGGAACACAGAATTTTAAGTCCAGTGTGTTTAGTCTTCTAGTGCTTCTTCAGCATTCAAGATACAGTTTTGCTTCCAAAGCAGCAGCTTTACCTGTCAGTCAGGAAAGCAGGACATGAAAGTCAAGTGACAGTAAGTACACTGTGCTTAAAATAGAATGCCTTTTGCTCCAGAATCTCAAAATGCAACAAAAGACTTTCATAAAGTAAGAGACCCTTCACAATGCTCTGTAAAAGGTACCAGTATTACTTTTCCCCCTAAAAGGAAGTTCAGGAAGCTTAAAATATTTCTTATAAAAGGAATACTTTAAAAAATTTCTGACTCTTCATAAAGACCTTATTAACAGTATATCCCAATTTAAATAATCTTTTAAAGATTACTTATCTCTTTTTTCTTCCTCTCCTTTATATTTGTGAGATCTTTTTCAGTAAGGGAAAAAGTGTGCTGGCAGTAGCTCTTCCAATGCAAATTGGTAACTGCAGTGCCCGTATCAAGATCCACATATACCAATTTGAGAATGGAGCTGTATTTCTATATTTATATACCAATTAACCTTCCATGGGCAAAGAAAGCAAATAGAAGCCAAGAGAAGTCCACATATTTTCTTCTGGCTTCATTAAAAATAAACTAAAATATTTTAAATTAACTTTGATTCATCTTCTTGTGTCTGTCTATGTGTGTTTACATGTATTTGCTATCCTCTGTTACTCCTAGGTCTCTTTCAGGTTCACTAATTACCTGGAAATACCTGTAGCTTTGGAGAAATTTCTTTGGAGCATTTTGTCACATCTTCTACAGCATGATATTCTGGTTCTTCTGTTCCCTCTAAGTTGCTTCTCCTGTAGTTGCTGTCTTTGGTACCTCTTTATTTTCCTAAGCTGGTATTAACTGCAGATTTCATTAGCATTTTCCTAACTCTTTGGGTTTGGTCACTATTACATCCACCAAACATCATTCCTGGGGAGTGCCATAGAGCAAATTGTCATAAACCAAAACTTCACCTGTTATTCTGAAGATAAGGTTCAGCAGCCTGTTTTAAATCACTAGAAATCCCTGTCCTGTCCCATGCCATCCAATCATTTCTCTCAAAGTCAGTTAACTCTTAATGCAGAGTGGTGGCTGCTCACTGTAGTCTGGATTGAGAGCAGGTTAATGCCCCCTCCTCTGAGCCCCAGCCACGGCCTGGTGCCCTGTGCTTCCCTGGCGTGGTGCATCCCAGCCCGAGGCATGGCCAATGGCAAATGCTGGGCAGTGCCAGGGGGGAGGAATTGAGGGCAGCTGAGTACAACACTTACTGTTCACACAGGGAAAAGGAGCTTAGTTCAGCTTGTTGTTTAACAACGCTGGCATCTGGGAGAAATTAGAGTAGCTAATTCCATCCACAGAGAGCCCGCAGGAGCTGAGGTTATGCTGGCTTCCAGGTTCTTATGTGTGGGATATTAAGACTGAGGAGGCAGATAAACGTAACCTTGAAGCTGTAAACATTATGCATACAAAGTGCAGATGGCTGTGTGCTTCATTTTTGGGCTCACTGACAAGCAGAAACTCACAATAACTGTAGCTTTTGGTGCTGACTGTAACAGACTGATACTACTTTAAATGAGGGCCATGTGCTTAAATGCTTAAATCTCTATGGCATTTAATCAAACTGACCTTCTCCTGCAGCTTTCTGTGCTTCAAGATGGATGGAGGGAGTCTCAATTCACTGGTGAGATACAGAATAAACAGAAATTACTAATTACTAAATAATTACTGTATGAAATTATTTTCCTGGTAGGTGTGTTGCTTTCTTTCATGTATGGGTGTGAGTGAATGTGTAGGAGAGGATTGATTTTGGCAGCAGCAGGGTGAAATGCGGTGGGGTGTGGAGGGGTGTCCAGGATCACTGGGAATGCAGAATTGCTTCCCTGCACAGATAGCACTAGAAGAAATCACTAAGATAAAAAGAAATCACCACATGCAATAGTTTAAGATAAAAAGAAGAGAGAAAAAAAGAATCTATGTAGCTGTCTATCTATCTATCTATCTATCTATCTATCTATCTATCTATCTATCTATCATCTCTCAGAGTAAGATTTACAGAACAATGTGAGAAAATGCACTCAGATCCCCAAAGTGAAAGAAGTGGGAGCACAACTGTAAAAAACACTACTTTAGGTGTGGCAGTTCAGAGTAACACATTCTTTTATTATTGCATAATTACTGACTGCTGAATGTTTGAAAATGTGCTGACATCAAATAAACAACTTGTGATATACTACTGGTCTAAGTAGGCCTTTATCTTTATAAACCCTAATTGGAGATCAGTCATTAGCCAGTGAGCACATAACCTGGCCTGTTTGTACAGCCAGAGTGAGAATTGGTAAATAAATGTCAGGGCAATAAGGAACTGACAACCGGGCCAAAATATGTGTGACCTTGTGTCTCTCATGTTGCAGGGTTTGCTGGAGGCTCAGGGACAATCACCCCCTCTCCTAAAGAGCTTGGAGGTTAATGATGCTGGAGTTGGAGAAGAAATGTAGACATTCTACCTTATCTCAGGTACTTCTGCCATGCATGGTGAACTCACCAGTGCTATGTCTGAGTCCCTTTTCTGATGTGATGCCTACAAGAGCGCCATGAATTACTGGGGAAAGGGATTGGATCCATCATGGCTGGCATTTGTCACATTTAAAATGTTGAAAAATGCACACATAAAAAGTTGCATGTATCGGTAGCATTTATCTCCACTCACATTCTGTATCATCTATCTTAAGGTGTAAGCCCACTGGGTTAGGTGACTGCTGATACTGCTTCCCACTCCACACGGTGGGCACAAGTTCCTGCTTTATTGTAATTGGAAATAAAGGAAGAAATGTGGTAAAATGAGACAGAAAAAAAAAGTAAATAAGAACTTAATAGATCTTAAACACTTCATGTTTATTGTACATTAAATAAAACAATTTCAGTTAAATTGAGAGACCAATGGGTTGGATTTAGGAAATCAAAACTTCTATAGGAAGATATGTTCAGCTTAAATGATCATTAATTACATATGCATTAGTTACATTATAGTAAAACCATATTCTGTTAAACAATTCTCAGGTGAATAAGATACATTATCAGAGGTATGTATTCCAAGGATCTTATTGCACATCTACTGGCTAATCCATGTACTTCCAGTCTGAGAAAGATACGCTTTGTACCACTGAGAACAGACTGACTGCCTCCTTATGCTTGTTACACAGCTTCCCCTCTTTCCTCATTAAAAAACAGAACACGGTATCAAACAAAATAAAGCCGAACATTACAAAACGCGTGTTGTCTTCAGTTCATTTCATTTCAACCTCAAAGCAATCCATGCGTAATTCTTTCTTTTCAGTAAGAGCAGGTAGGGAAAACAAAAGGACAATTAAGGAAAAGAAAAAAAGTCATAAAATCCCCCACCACACATGTTTTTCTGTCGTTGCAAGAACTAAAATGTTGTTATTCTGCTACCAGCTTCCAGTGCAGTGGGAGGAAGCACTGTGGACGGACTCTCACTTCCCTTCAGTTTTGTCTGCCTGCACTTCACGCATATACGAGTCAATGATGTGCGGAGGCACTCCATCCATTAATAGCTTGAAGAATGAAAGCCCACCTACAAACAAGGAAAACAGGTAATCTTCAGGGTGAAGGTCCCTGGAGCAACAGCTTTGTACCTTTATTCTCTGGCATGAGTGACAAGTTTTAGTCAGTCCCTGTTACATACTTCGAGATGTGGTAAAATTCAGCCCTGCTCAAAAGTCCAGTGTGACATCTACCCATTATTTAGTTGGTACTATACAGACCTTTCCTGTCCTCTTGTGCAGGGTGAATTTCATTTCTAGGGTATCATATATTCAGTCATTTATCTCACCACATGCAATAGTTTATGATGAGCTTCACTTCAAATAACTCTCGTGGCTTTCCATCACTCTGGGTGGAGCATGGTCACAGATGGAAGTCAGTGCAGGGGGAACAATGTAGGAAACACTGACCAGGATGAGTTGTGGAAAACATGCAGAGATATTCAATTTATTCTAGTTTTGGGTCCTAAAATGGTTTCTAGGTATTTAGCAAAATATTTACCATGTTGCTTGAAAATGACAAGTGGGATGACATCCATAAAAGAATCATATTTTAAAAGCCAGGATTTCAGATACAGTCTCCAGAGGGAGAGATAATGAAAGCTGAAATTTTCATCTGCTGGGGAAGTCTGAGGAATCATTCTGGATTTTCTTTTAAATTCACTTAAAAATTTCACTTTTTGTTGGGACTATTCAGCCTGGGGAAGGGAAGGCTTCAGGGAGACCTCAGAGCACCTTCCAGTACCTAAAGGGAACTTACAAGAGAGCTGAAGAGGGACTTTTTACAAGGGCCTGTTGTGATAGGACAAGGGGTGGTGGCTTCAGACTGGAAAACGGTGGGTGAAGTTTAGATACAATGAAGACATTCTTCACTGTGAAGGTGGTGAGACCTTGGCACATGTTGCTCATAGTGGTTGTGGATGCCCCATGCCACTGATACAAAAGCCATGGAAATTAAACACCAGTATTTCTGTTAGTTTCATTGAAATCAGATGATGTTTGGAAGAAACAGTGGGAGAAAGACAAATATTTTGCTAAAAACTTTAGAATCTGCCCTTTCTCCAGACAAAGGGTGTAAATTGCTTTAAGAAAGCTATATACCATTACTATTCCCTTTACAAATCTGCATGAATATTGTGTTCTGCAAGCTGCAAACCGCGCACTGATAGCTGCACTTACCTTCTGAGCTTTTTCTGGAACACACCAAAAGCTTTAAAGCAAAAGTACATTGCCAGGGTGAAGATAACACTCTCTGAATGCTTCAGCTAAATGCAATTGAGCTGATACTTACATACAACATTTATGCCGAGTACAGATTTTTAAGAACTTATAACCCTTATTAACACAAGGATTATTCAATTAAAATGCTATTAGTTACTAGTGATTATGAGACTGTGCTGTCTCATTTAACATCATCATTGTGGCAGAAGTGTTTGCCCCAGCCTTAGGTAGATGCACAATACAGACCAAAATAAAAAAAAAAAGCATGCTTTTTGGCATTCTTTCAGCTTTTTGGCATTCTTTCAGCTCATGGAGTGCAAGTTGAGCTATAGATCATTCATTTTTAAAATAAGTTAACGCTGAAATAAATATTTTGTTTATGTAGAGGCATATTCCTAAAAAAAAAACTTGCTGTAAATACATAGTGCTCTTTTTATTACTTGCATTTTATTCATGCTAATTAATCATGCTAAGTCATGCACTGTTAAATTCCACTGAAAAATATGCACCATTAGAAGGAATGGGATATACTACTAAGAATTACCGTAACAAACAATTACTAAAATCTGAATTTGTATGCCTTAAAACCATCATGCTGCTAACTTATAAAGATATTTTCATTAAGTGACATAATGAAAATCATGCCATACTAGGCAGACATTGTATGACGTATAAACAGACATAAGCTTCATATGCAAGAACCATATGAAAGCTTACCTTAGATGACAATATACATTCAAAAATCCTTACTGTGTAACTAAGGGAGAGAGAGAAAGAGAAGTAACAATTTAATTGCAAGCACAAAAGTGGAGAGAAAATGTTGAGTGAAATTATTATTACAATTATATCAAAGTGATAATTTAATCCTTAGTCATGTAAAATATGTGGGAATAGAAGCACATGAAGAGTAAAAGGTAGGGATCCAGTTCCACTTCAAAATTATCATTAATGTGTAAAAGCTAGATTAATAGGTACAAGTAACTATAAAAACCTCTAATTAGTCTCAAGTATAGATTGGAACCAAATTATATTTATGATAAAAGTTTCCAAATGTAGCTTCAAGGAAGCTAACCCATATATATATATATGTATGTACTATTTTCCACCAGGGGGAAAGAAAAAGGCACACACATAACACTGAAGCATATATATATATATGTTGAAACTCTGTAAGGCAAAATAATCAAGTACAGACTATTTACATACCTGTGCTCTATAGTATGTACTTTGTCATATATCTGTATTTACATTACTCAAGCATGCTATTTAATCTGTAGGAGCCCTTACCTTTAATTAAACATTTTGACTCTATAAAACACCCATATATATATACACTTATCTATCTGTATGTCTATAAAAGCATGGAACTTTTTACCTATTGTAGCCTTTTAAGAAAAATACCCCAGTAGTTCAAAAGCTGTGGAAACATTATCCAGTCTGATCTCCTAATGTGTTTTAGGACTGAAATCATAAGTCTGGATGCATAATACATTGCAGACCAGTTTCTGGGCATCACTGTCATTTTAAAACTGCACTGTTAATATGCTGAATCTGGGCAAGAGTGCAAGGAAAGAGACATTTCAATAGAAAGAGTCAAATTTTCTGAACCCCAATGAACTTGAATGCAAAATAAGCTCTAGAAAAAATGAAGTAAATGAAGTAAAATTTTCTGCTTGTAAGTAATTGAATCAAGATTTCATCCTTAAAATTGGTAGGTTAAGTTCAGGCATGAATTAGCATTCTGAGCACTAATTTGTAATCAAAGAGTAATGTGCTATAAAGAATGCCTTTTAAGTGCAGTAAATGACTTCATGATACTTCTGGTCTTTCAATAATTCTACAAACTAATTGAGAGCGGGTTTATTTGAAATGCATATTTCTTTCTCCTGGAAAGATCTAAGTGTTGTGGTAAAATATATTCACAGTCATGAAATAAATTCTTTATAGATACATGTACTTATATGAAATATGTCTGCAAACTTAGTAATTCTGATATTAAATACCCATGGTTGAATATTGTCTTGATTAATTTGGCCTTCTTTGCTCATGTGACATAGACAATGTATGCCATGAGACTCTAGCTAGTTTAATCTAAAAAAGCAAAGAAATACACACTTAGCATGCAGAAAAGGCATTTGCATGTGGAAAGAGAGGGTGGGAATGAAATGGAATGTCCAGAGGAGTACGCGCATTGTAAACCTGATTATCCCCCGCCAAGCTGAGTGGTTCTCCTGGGTTAATTACTCCATGATAGATCACTGCAGAATTAGAATATTTATAGTGGTATTTATTTGCATGTGAAATTTTTCCCAGTTGATCTTAACACCTTTTAAAAATAAAATTTCTTATACAGCAATTTTGCTATCACCAACCTATTATTAGAGAGATCACCAATCTTTATTTCACTTCTAAAATAAAGGTTCTCCAAAGCTGTTTTTTCCATGATAAAAGAAGCACAGCACCTTATCCAATTCTTTTCATCAACCTCAGTGAAGCTGATAAGGAATCAGTTTTTTAGTGCTTGTAATGGGAGATTTAGAGCCAAATTTAGGGATCTACTTCAACAAACTCAAAATATATACAGTATTTTTTGTAATGAGATTCTGCATATATTATTATCTTTCAATATCGATGAGAAAAAGTAATCTATTACATGACTTTTTTACACAAACACATTTACAAAAAAAGCCACTAAATGTGTAATTGTACTGAGTAGGTCATGTAACTTCCATGTTTAAATTCACTCAGCAAAACTTAAAACCAAAGAACAAAAGATTATATGTCTGAAATAACATCAGTACATGAAAACCCTCTTATGAGGACAGAATAAGTTTTTATTATTTTAATTGTGCTTATATGTATCACTAAAATATTTTCAGGAAAGAAGCATTACATTTAGCAACAACTAGGGGCGTTAAATTTACACCTAAAATAGTGTAAGAAAATTATTAAAATATAGAAAATTGTAGCATACTGATAATAGTCATAGCTAGAATATTCCAATATAATGCACACTCTGAAATCCTAGGCTGTTCAGATACTTTTGGGGCTGAGCATTTATATAGGCACGTAGGTAAATTTAAGTTCTGCAACATATCAGAGATGGATGGCTAAAAGTAATTCTAGCCAGCATAAGGAAACATATCTTGCTACAATAAATACTCTTGCATGTCATAGAGCTCTCTAGCATGACTTATTAGCAAGTCAAACCTACTATCTGTAGTAATAGCACTGTAGCTTGCAGGTTCACCAGATAGGCAGCAGAGCCTTGAACCTGTTATTCAGACAACATTAAATTCTATCTCATTATCTTACAAATCCAGACTTTGGTAGTCTGACTTGGTGGAATAAAGCTGAACTGGTTTAAAGCTGTACGTATGGAAACAAACACACACACACACACACACTGCAATGCATTTCCTGTGAGTCAGAAATCTGCAGGTCTCTGCTCTGCATCAGCATGGTGAGCAGTCGTCTGGGGAGCCCTCCTAAATGAATAAACAGGCTGGGAAACTTAAGAGGATGATAAATCAACATGTAAGTCAATAGAAGAGAGAAATAAGGTGCAATGATGTCTTTGTACCCTGGCTGTTTAAGAGTAATTTGCTATATTTGCCTAGAGCAGATGCTGAGCCTATCCTGGTTTGCTAAGCTTCAGCTGCTGTGTTCACTTAGCAACATAACTTGGCTTTTCAGTACAAAAAAAATAGACAAAGTAACCTTCTCAGGTGTTGAGGTCTTCTGTTATGCTGTGAAATAGAAAGTTTGCTTGTGATTAAAAAAAGCAATTTTACTTCCAGGATGAGGACATCACCTTTTAAGGACAGTATCTTAAAAATAAAAACTAAGAAATGCATTATTCATATTTTCATTGCATTATTTAAGTGTTCAACTTAGCATAGACGAAACATTTATTGAAATGTCTGCTTGCTAGCAAATCTGAGCTGTGGGACAAGATACATCAGAAAATACAGAAAATGGAAACTGAAATGCAAAATAAACACAATGCAATCTATAAAAATATTAAATGTGGTTTTCATTATAGACTAGCATGATGGCAGTAATGTAATTAAAGCCATAATGATGTCACCTAAGTAACCTCTGAATTCCTTAGTTAGACACTTCCTACCAGCTATCTTTAGGCAGCTTTCCTTACTTATAACTTCAGAATAATTTTTTGAGAAACAGTTTATTCTGCAATTGAAACTAAGCCTTTGGCAGGAATTAGTCCAGCTAAATATGACCATATATTTTCCTAGGAAGTAATTTTCTGAAAAATATGGTTCTGAGATTATTCACTAGTCATCCTATCCAAGTCCTGTACATGGTATCCCAGTGAATTCTAAACTACCTGAAATTCATAAAAATTTTCCATTAATGGAAACAAAACAAAAGAAAGCAGACAGTATTATTCTGTCCTAACAGAGCTATTGATTTAATCCAGGAACATTGAACTCCCTTTTGCACTTGCCTTACATCCTTTCAGCTCTGCAGACAGTGCTCAGGCAAAGAGGGTGTTTGCAATGTTTTAAAGCCCTTACCTCTTACTTCCAGTTTGCAGTCCACTTCTGCCTCTCCCAGCTCGTTGACTGCTCGGCAGGTGTAAGTGCCTCCATCGTAGGGGCTGGGTTTGCGGATCTCCAAGGTACACACACCTTGATTGCTGAACATCCGGTACCTTGGGTCATTCATGATGAGCACTTTGTTTTTCATCCACGTTATTTTGGGCTGTGGTAAGGAAAAAACAAAACAAAACAAAAACCCAACAAACAACAACAAAAAAAGAAAGCCCAAATGCACAAACCTGTGAACTGAAATATTTTATCCCCTATTTTGTGGTGTTCAGTTAAAGCTGAGTAATCAAGAAATGATAAAAAATAGATGAAGTAGTGATAGAAAGGAAACTGTAAATCTTAACTCAAAGATAAGCATTGGCTGCATCATCTATTTTTTAGCACTTTTTTTCAGTGCAGCTCTTATCACCTAATTAAAGTCATAAGTACAAGCCTGTTATCAATACAAGAACTGTGTAATGATAGCAAACATCTGATGATTAGCTTTTGACATCCAATTACTCTAAATCAATAGGAAAAATATATTTTTCCACAGTAATTTGCACAGTCAGAAACTGTGAAGGTGAAGGGTGAACAGCACGCTGGATTTCTCATTTTACTAGGCCAGTTCAGTTTCTCACACCAGAAAAAAAGATCTCAAAAAGACACAATTCAAAATAAAGTGCAAGACACATCGTGCAGTGGGGCTGAGAAACAATGTGGCACCCAGAACATTCCTGCAATGTGCTTACTTAGAGAATAATTAGCTCTTTATAGAATATTTATGGCTTTTAGTAACAAGTTTTACTGATATATTAACTGTACAGCTCTTGTCAGGGAGAGTCCCAGCAAAGCCCAGCCTTTTCCTGAGGTTCTGCCCCTTCACTGAGTTATCTGTGCATTAACTATTGCAGCACAGGTAAGCAGCTCCTTTATTTTTGTATTCTTTAGAACCCACACCTGTCTGTTTGCCTTCAGCATGGTTCACGAGTTAAATGGTAAAAGTTGCATGTAATTTTCATAGGTTAAACTCTGGTGTTTTAAGCCCTGCTGTCAGAGCTGTGCTGTACCTTGGGGTTGCCCCGGACGCTGCAGTTCAGGGTGGCATTGTAACCAGCCACAGCAAACGTGTTCACCAGGGGCTGAGTGAACAGCGGCTGCTCGCTGAAGTCAAAGTCATCGTAAACTGGGTATTTGTAGACTTTACCTGTGAAGGGAAAATTAAACATTTATAAAAAGAGCGTTAGCAGGTAGCTAAACACCCAAGCACATAAAATGGCTACAGAGAGTCAGTTGTGATCTGCACTGCTTTAGGTACCAAGGTGACTCCAGTAGCTGCACTTGCAGGGGAGGCTGGAGGTGGGTCTGCACAGCGACTATAGCCCCTGATCATGCTATGGCATTGATGTTTGAGAGATTCTCTTTGTTTCCTGTGCAGGTGGTACACAAAACAATACAGGTTCATTCCGTGTCTGTGCCTCCATGCCCTGCATGCTACAGAGCAGGATGGATCCTGACCTGTGTACTGCAGGACGCCTGTCTTTGGCAAGCCTTGTTCATTCTGCTGCCAATTATTTTTTACAGTTTGTTCTGATTATAAACTGTCCCTGTGTCTGAAAATCCATGTTTCTTTCTGCTTCAAACAGTGCACTGACAATACAGATACCTGAATGGATGCAGTTTCTGAACAAGGAAAACACGGTAGTAAAATGTATTTTCTCAGTGCCAGTTTATCTCCACTCTGCAATGGATATTACCACCAACAAATCCTCTTCAGCCACACATTGAGCTGGCATTTAAAGTGGCTGGACAGACAGACATCTCTTCCTCTGCACAGGTGTCATTATGCAGCTTTGCTTCACTGAAAGCTGATCCAAGCTCTCACACTGACTTCTGTTCAGCTTAGGCCTGATACTTGCTCTCATGAGAAGGGCAAGTAAGCAGCAGTGCTGAAAAGGAATTCCTAGAGCCATTCTCTTGTTCACGACTCCAGAGTCTTTCAGCCTGGCTGTGTGGGTTGTACAGGTTGTCTGTCCTCTGCATCATGGCAGTCATGTATTCCTTCCTTTCAGGCAAAATGCTTTGATTTTCGTCCTGTAAGCTATTTGTTTTTAGAATTTTCTTTCCATAGGAAAGTTTTGTGGTTTTTAAGTTTACAGTGCCATTTCCAATTGACATCTTCTGAAATGTCAGGATTTTTGACTGCAGAACCAGATTTTGCCTAACCCCGCCTTCAAGAGATGTGAAGCAGGGGCTATGCTTTTCTGTTGCATCCTGCCTGAAGTGGAGGGAGTGCCTACACAGCTGATGCCAAGTCTCCAGAGGAGGGCAGTGACCCACTGCTTCTAACAGAGCAGCTGCTTTACTCCTCTCCAGCTCTTGTCAATGCATATGTGCCAGTGCTGATGTGAGTCTGAGATCCAAGACCATAGAAAATGTCAGAACATGGGAGAAATGTCCCACTCCTGATTAAAAGCAGTGACTATGAGCTATGTGGACAAGCCAAGAGGTCTGAATAGGAAATACCCTTGCTGTTGGACCTGGCCTTGGGGCTGGGAGTGCCTCTGAATGCTTTAGAGGTACGGCCTTTGCCCCTAGCCACCTTCCAGCCTCTGAGCACCCCGCTCCCCCTTGATGAGGCATGGGTAATTAACTAACCATCCTTTGCAATCAGAGCACTCTCTTTGGTCATGGTTGCATCCTCGCTGAGGCCGCACATGTTCTCAGCAAAGACCCTGAAGTAGTACTCGTTGCCTATGACCAGCTCGTTGATGGTGGCGCTAGTGCGGTGGTAGTGCTCGATCACGGTGAACCACTCCTGAAAGGCACAGACACACAGGGTGAGCTCTCCCCAGCACCCTGCAGCGCCCAGACATCCACTGGAAGGGTCATTGAGCTTCTTGGGAGCAGGTCCTTCCTTGAAGAGAATGCAGCTAACAATAATTAATAGTGAAATGAGTGATGATGGCGGTGCAGCTCTGCTGAGCAGCGAAGGCTGAATGGAACGTGAACCCTACTGGATGGTTACACTGGCACCTGGAAGGGTTCATTTTAGGAACTGCAGTCTTACAAAGGTTGTGTTGTGTGAGCAAGACAGGCTCCCTCTTTCCTAATCCACACTGCTGACAGAGAAAGTACAGTTGCAGATAACAAAACTGCATTCCAGTGGGGAAGGCAGCCGCATGTGCTGGTCTGCAGTAATATGCACTCACAAGAGGCCACTGCACTAATCTGCCCTCTCTATCACAGGCTGAGTGTTCATGAAAAATGTACTTCTGTGCTTGTGGTCCTCTGGTATGTAAAGTGGGTTTTAATGCTTTAGTCTTGCAGCAGTAACAGGACGTGTGAATTCTGTCCTATTACACAATACCTGAACAACAATTTAATGCTAAAAATGCAATTAATATGAAGTGCAATATGACCACAGCAATGTTTTTGCTTTTCTTTACTCTGCCCTAAATAGTTTTCTTACTTTTCTAAAGATGATCTTGTGCTGAGTTCCCTGTACCACAGTTTGCATTCATATTTGGTCAACTTTAAGAGCCAAAGTTCCTTTGGGAAAACAGTTTTTTGTAGACCAGCTGTGCCAGAATTGCAAAATGCACCACCACAGATACGGTGAGGAAAGTGACCTGAATGATCCATTTCACACTGAACCCTAGATGCTGCTTGCTGTTGTTACTTTCTCCTTATTACAGTAATACAGAGAGGACATTGTTCTGGTCACTGTACCAGAGACCATATCTTCTTGCAGTCTCAAGAGAAGGAGAAAAGGAAAAAAAAAAAAAAAAAAAGTAGGATGGGAAGGAAAATAGTGGCATTGGAAGAAGGAATTGATCAGACCATGATGGAGATCAACATGTTAATGTGGGAGATAGGAGAGGACAGCAAAAGATTTTCTTGGAGAAGGCAGCTCTCTAAATATTGCCCTAGATTTCCAGTGTTTAAATTTGTAGTAAATGTTAAACCTGAGAATCTGACTACTGTCTTAAGAAAGAGAGTACTTTTGTTAGTACAGTTTAATTTTTTTTTTTGTTACAATTTTTGTTAGTTTATTGAAAATAATATTTCTGTATTGCACTTTTCATCTGTAAATCTCAGAGTGATTACAGAAGTACTTGTGTACTGCTGTGCCACGGGTAGCAAGGAGTGGCAATGACTTACACAATGTGACATTGCAGGTTTGAAAACAGCAGCAATGGAACACTTTTGTTCTGGTAGCAGCCTACTGAATTCAGAATTAATATTTTAAGGTTTTATTTTCTCTCCTGAGGAAAAGGAAAAATGCAGAATTACTTCTCTCAAATCCACCTATCCTTCCCATTTTTAGTCCTCCTCTTTGGAATATTTCCAATTCTAGGCTTAGTGAAGAAAAGATTTTTAGAGCTTTTAGAGGGTCCTGTAGAGATTTTTCGAATGCTGATAAATCAGTGCTTTGTCCACCTACATCCTTTTAAGCATGCAAAACTTTTTGTTTTTAAAAGACAAATTAATGAGTACATCCAGCTTTTAAACATCTTATTACTTACCATACTCTTCTTATCTGCTTTTTGAATAGTGTACCCAGTAATGGCAGCATTGCCATCATCTTTTGGTGGCTTCCATGATAAATTCACATTCTCTCCCCAGACATCCTCAATAGTCACAACCTCTGGTGGGCCTGGGCGATCTGCAACAAAAATATGATATATGCTACTGTTTGCTTTCTCTTTTCCCCACACACATCTTCCAATTAGTTTGATTTCTCTCTCTTTCTTACAAAAAAAAAAAAAAAGTCAAAAGAAAGCTGTGGTTACAAAATAAAACTCTCCAAAGTGAAGGCGTTTTAGAATTACAATAAATTTAATAAAGTTGTGCTGCCAGTTTTGCCTATTATGTAAAGGAATGGATGATAAAAATGAAAAGTAAATGTGTTTTCTTTTCTGTCTTTCCTACTTTTCCTACTTTCAGCATTTATGATTTCTTGCAACTGCATTTGTGACGAACTTACTATGAATTTGCTACCATTACTGTCTATGGGTACCACTCAACAGGAGAAATCTTGCATCCTGGATAGACAAGAACCTGAGGGGCTTAACAGAGAAAAAAAGAGACTGACACATTCCAACAACACTATGGTGTATGGACGTTTCCTGAGTGACCCCAAATGTACAGCCAAGTAACTGAACATGGAGAGATATCACTGCCAAGAAAAATGTCAGCATTCCCATTTTCCTGTAGCCTTGGAACAGCTGGATTTATTTCTGTTTCTCCAAACATACCAACGATCTGAATATCTATCGTGGCTTTGTCCACCAGGTTCTCCACCTCCACTTTCATGTCGTACTCGCCGGAGTGGCCCCGCTCTGCCTTCCGGATGAAGATGATGGTGTCCTGCTCCGTGTTGCGGATGTTGATGTCGTTCTTGTCAATTGGAGAACCATTCTTCTCCCACGATACTTTCGCCCTTGGTTTTCCCTGCAAGGAGCCAGGGAACAATTTTTGTATGATTTTTTTGGAGAGAAAAGGGAAAAGAAGGAAACAGGTTTAATTACCATTTTTCCCAAACAGGAAGTGTCCTAGGTTACAGTATAAAAATGTATTCTATTCCCATCCTCAAGAACTGCTGAAACCAGGAAGGGCATTGTTTTTTTTTCCTTATCTCCTGTTAATGGACCCATCAATGCCTTGCCACATGACTCAGAGATAACTCCCTCCAGGAGCCATTTCTGTTTAATGGGCAATCAAGGACCCCCTGCATGACTCATAGAATGATATCAGCCCATTGTGAGATGCTCTGCCCAGGGGGAAGGAGCTAAGCATCCCCACCTGGATATAATCTGGGATTTGGGACAGAGCAGTCAGTCTTTCCACTGGATTCTCAGAGGAATAGCTGTCTTTCCCACTGGATCTTCAGAGGACGACTACACTCTTTCTACAGGATCCCTGCTCCAACAGAACCACATCTGCCCCTCCAGGAGGACTGCAGCCACAATTCCAACTGGACTGCTACCAGCACCGTGACCAGCGGGGTGTCAGATTGTGTTCTGACCAACAGGATGTCAGGTTGTATTCTGACTAACAGGGGGTTAGGTTGTATTCTGACTTTGTCATTTGTTTTTATTTTGTATTATTGCATGTATTTTGGCTTTCTTTTCCCTTTTCCTAATAAATTGTATTTCTGACTTGGAGTCTCACTAGTTTTGCTTTCAAACCAGAACAGGAAGTAAAAACTGTTCTGAAAGAAAGAGAATTATTTTAAAAATTATACACCATTTAGAGATGCAATCATACCAATTCACCTAAAATGTAACACTCTTTCCTTTTTTTTTTTTTTTTTTTTTCCTCAAGAGACGGGAAATATTTGCATTTTTTCACTATACTGGATGATTATCTCACTGGTTAAATTGAAAAATAATTTCCAATTTTCTGAAAGAAAAGGGAGAAAAAATAACCCACAGAAAATATAGAACACAGTATTTCATTCTCTGGAAATGCTTAACATTCTCTACATTGCCAGTGAAAGAGGAAAGTAATAGATTCAACATCCAAGGATTCTAAACTCTCTTCTTTCATTACAAAGGAAGTTGTAATAGCTGCTAGGAAGGCTGGATTGATCTCTTTTTGTGCCATTTTCTGTGTGTCTAAGTGCCCAATATAGGTACTTAAAGTAGAGTGAATTTCACCTGCTTTGCTGTGGGATTTGCCTTCCACAGGCAAACAGTTTGCAGATGCTGTCTGAAAAGGGTAATCTCACACCATTTTGATCACCTTATCTTAGAGAATAACCATAAAATATTCCTTTAATTTCTCAAGAGAAATATATCTTGCAGTGTATTGCTGATCAAGCTTTTATGAGGCTTTTAACAGGCTCTGTGAAGCTGAGTTATGCCCATCCAGTATCTTAAAATGTGCAGACATGAAACAGAAATGAATTCTGCCATAATTCTTTTGTTCAGAAGAAGGACCCTGCAAGGAGAGAGGCTGGTGCTGTTTAAAAGATTTAGGAATGAAGATTGACACTTGCTGTGGGAAAACATGCTACATATTTTAGAAATAGTCATATTACAGTTGTGATCTCAAGGATTTAACATCTGCAGTCTGCCTGTTCTTCCCCTCACTTTTCCTCTCTCATGACAAGGAAGTTATTAAATGCGTTCCACTCTTGATACCCATATTTAACTGCTTCCAGTGCAACCCCTTTGCATTGTGCAATTGTCTTATGTGCAATGTCTACTGTGAATATTTGTAAGTGTCCTTTGGATGACAGGTGACCAATCAGCATGTCTAAGTGAGTTACCCAATTCATTACTTGGCTGAACATAATTTGTTTGAGATGTTGAACCAAAAACTCTCAGGCACCTCTGTACTTGAGAGTACTTCCACATGTTCTTCAGTTAGCTGACTGGCCAAAGTTACTGAGAAATCAGTTAAAAAGCAGAAGTAACAAAAAAAAAAAAAAAAAGGGGAAAAAAAGGTAAAAATAATTTTTCTGTCAGTATTTTTACTTCTTACCTGGAAAGGAATAACAAGATTCACAGTTTCTCCAACTCTTCGAGTATAGGTTTGTTTTAAGTGTCTTGGTAGACGAATCTTTGGAGGTTCTGAACAAAACAAAAGCTTGTGTTAAGCACTTATCTTCCCTTCTAACTGAGACAGCACTGGTGTGCATCAGTATAAAAAGGAGACAGTGTGGTCTAAAATTCCCAGAAGTGACTAATAAGTGAGGTGTCTGAAATTTCTTGGTCCCCCGGTGTTGCATTCAGGACACCATCAGCTTTTATAACTCCATCAGCTTCTATAACACCAAATGCTACAATGGTAGGACTAGGTGGGAAGCTTAGAGGAACTTCAAAAAAGTACCGTCAGGATCAAGTTCTGCAGAAAATTGCCCTGAAAAACTGAGAAATAAAGGCTCGGAAATGAAACAAAATTATGAATTATTCAATGATGGTTTCATGATTTCTAGCCACCACACAATAGCTTTGTAAGGCCATATAATCAATTAACAATAACAAGTAAATATTAGCCTTAAAAACCCCCAGGTATTAGTATGGAAAGAGGGTGTATTTGTGGGTAAGTGCAGGCAGCAGGATCTTACCTATCACTTCCTTGACTAAAATAGGCTGTGGGTGGTACTTGGGCTCACTTTCTCCAGCAGCATTCACAGCTTTTACTCTCACAAGGATTTTCGAGCCAGTTGGAAGGCCATTGATGGTAAACTTTGTTTTGTCTGTCAGCTCTGGGTTAGCCACGATCCATTCATCAGCTGGTTTAGGGAAGTGCGGGGAGGAGGACAGATCCAAAGAACAGGGAATTATAAATACATCCACAGCATGGACAAGGAAAATTACGGAACAGTAATAGATTTGTTAGATTCTAATGAATAATTCTATTTTGTTTTTCTAATTATGCTCTAACACAATGTAGGTTCATTTTCATACGTAGGAAGAATGTTTCAAACCCTAAAGAATTTCTGCTGATTATGTATTTGTATATTTATATATTTATATATTTATATACACTTATATAATTATATGAATGTTATTAGAATATCTCTATAATTTAACTGTACCAGAGATAAAAATGGTTAGATTTTTAAATTCAGCTAGAATAAAACAAGGGGGACAAAGAACATGTTTGCAAAAGCACTGATCATTGCTTTAACAGCTTCCTTGAAGAGAAATGGGTTTTGCAATTAATTTCAGCCAGAACTGAGTACCCTTGAAAGTATAACTGAGAAACAAAAAAAACACAGAATGTTTACATTGCAGTGAAATGCCATCTCTCCTCATGCCTTTAAAAAAAGGAAGGCTGTGTCAGAATTATTCACATAATTACAGCATTCTCGGATTTTTAATCCTACCCCCAGGTGGTCGCACGAAATTCATGGAGTGATCATAAGAGTACAGTCTTTCAAACAGCTTCCATTACAAACCATACTTTCTTATCCTCCCAGCACAGACTGCCCTAACACTGCTGGCACCTGGGCACAGGAGGTTTATGAACTAGCAAACAGGGTCAATACTTCCCACATCATGTAAAGCCAGCACTATGAAATGGGCACAGAAGACAGAGAACTGTTATGAATGGAGAGCCCTGCAGAACTAGAGTGTAGTGCTGTGGCACATTTTCATAACTGAGTCTTGCTTTTAGGAATTAAGTTTTCCTTCAAGCAGAAAAGGATTTCAATCAATGTCTGTTTCCCAAGTATCTCCCCCTCCCCTTACACCTATACTACAGAAAATTCCATAGTTCCACTGTTGCCCCTAAAATTCACTGTTAGGAATTTATCTTTACTTTTATGAAGAGAGTTTTTCTTTCATTAAAGAAGACTGTGGAATACTGTACCTTCCAGGTTAAAAGGTGGCTCCCCCAATTCCTCAGACAGATCTGCCGATATACCTTGAGAGAATCCATCTTTAAAATTAATCAGAGACACCCACTTTCACACAGATGGAGCATTTTGTCAGTGGTTAGCAATTCCTGTTAGTAAGTATGCAAAGATAGATGCTGGGCTTTACAGATTTAGAGAACCCATATTTAGGGAGACTGCAGGGAGAAAAGAGACGGAAAGAGGGCATCTAGATCACAGAACAATTATATGTGATGCCCACAGGAAAGATAGAGGATGAAAGAAGAGAAGGATATAAAGTTCTATGAGTTTTTTGGGCCCAGAATAGCCCTAGAAATATGAAAAGAAAGAGACGAAAGGAACACTTGGAAGAGAGAAGTGAAACAAAATGATGATGAGAGAAAGTTTAGAAGGAGAAGAAAACACATCGTAGAAGAGATAAGAAAATCGGGGATAAATTCTGAGTAAGAGGGACAGAAAAAAAGAGGTCTTGGAAAAAAACTTGAAGGAAACAGAGGAAGAGAACACATTTAGCTAAAGGTAACATAGATAGAAGATTAAAGAAGACCAGATCCATGGATGATGACAGATATGATGTAAACCCTAAGGCTTTATTTCCTGAACAAAGTTATCACTGTCCTGGATTTCCTGTAATCCTGGAGCTGGCTATTTTCAGGACAATAAAAATACTATTCCAGTATTCTTACATGGTCCTGAATGAGTACACTGGTAAAGGTCTCAGCCAACAGAAACTCTCTGAAGCACTTATTTACTGGCTATAAAAACAGGTCATCTGCAGGTACAACATCCTGTTACAAGCAGATAAACATATTGTCACGAGGAACACCCAGGCTGTGCTCCCCAGGCTGCCCTCCAAATGCCACACAAGAACCAGTCAGAAGCACACTTTACTAGGGGCTGGCTTCTCCTGTGTCTACAGGATTTGGTCTGCTCCACTTCTCCACAGCAAGAGGGTCAAAGCTGGATATTGCAAACTAGGCCTGGGGAGCTCTCTCTATATATACATATATATTCTATATTCATGTTATTCACAGCTATGCAATGCTGGATCAGGATACTCATGATGAGACTCCAGCTCAGTAACATGCATGGAGTGGTACATAGTTAAGTACTCCAAGAATCCACCATGTTGATCAAGTTATGTGGTTCTGACTAAAGGGAAATACCAGTTTTGCAAAGCCAAACCAATGTTTATGATACATTATTCTTCTAAATTATCTTTATATATGTTTTTGTCTTCCTATTGTCAGCTTGTGATTTCTCCTAATGATTGCGATGTTAAGGAAGACTCTAAAAAGCCCTCTTGAAAACTACTTCAGTGACAGCAACGAAAGAATGGAGAATGTAAATACAGATGAGTTTACAAACAGATAACTAAGAGAAAAAAGGAGAAGAATGAATATAGGCAGTCATAAAAAGTATCTTGAAATTAAAAAGAGTTATTAAAGCTTACAGAAAAAATTAGTTTGAGGCAGAACAGGGCTGAGAAAAAAGAGGCACTAAGATATTGCAAGAAAGGTAAAAACAAGTGAACAGAGAGAAAAAGATGAATAATCCAATAACATGACTTTAAAATTGGTATTTTAAAATTGGCATTTTCTACGTATCTTGCTTCTTCCTAAGCATTTTCATAACATATATACATAATGTCAATTGTGTATATATAGATGTATATGTATATATAGGAGGTATATATAGATATACATAAACACTCAAAACTATGTAAAATACATTGTACCCATTGTATTTTAACCGAGGCGGGTAACAGTAAAATGACAGACTTGGCTGCCATTTTGTTGTATCTTCATGTGTTTAAAACCTATCTGAAAAAAAAAAATAAAGAATTTGTTCCATTTAACAAGTATACAATGTTCTTCTGTCTAATAGCCCTTTAAAGACAGATTTAGAAGATTCCTTTTCAAAGCCATGCTTTGAATTAACCTGTCTGTATTTCTCATCCTTTCTTATCACTTGATTTGGATATCACATACTCTGATACTTTTAACTTTTCCCTTCCATTCTTTTAACTTTTCCTTTTAACTTTTAACTTTTCCCTTCCATTCTACCCAATGCTACACAAAGCATAATATACAGCATACACTGAAGTCCTCACATTGACAGTCCCCTTAATATTCCCCTAGACCTGGCCTGTGCAGTGGAAGCAAAGTAAGAACACTGTGTCCTGATGGAAGCCTGCATGCTTACTCACTCTGAGCTGTTCCCGCAGCTCCCTCCCAATACACAAGGAAAACCCTTCCTACCATTGCAGCTGTGTCTGCCTTCAGGTACTCTCCTCCGGGTCTCGGAGCTTCTTGCAGTCCTGCTCCTTAAAGATATTAATCTCAACACTACAAGATGCTGAGTGCTCCTGAGAAAAGTCAGTGGTGGTTCTTCACAGCCTCTCCCACTCGCCTGAGAGAGACCTGAGTGCTCTCTGATGCCATGGCACCTGACCACGTTTATGACCTACTGTTTTCCTGGATTTTCTTCATCTGAAACATGTGACAGCATGAATGAAACCTTCTGTCCTCTACCTTTTGTCTCCAGGCTATGGACTGTGTTCATGAAAAGCTTTTATTGAAATAAATGCCTTAGTGAAAAAAAGGTGTTCAACCCCTGGCTTGGTTTACAGCACAGATAAGAGCAACAGCAGATGAGCTGAAGATAACTGTGTACCCTTCATCCACATCCATAACATTGCTGCAGTTGGTGTTGTTGGTCCACAGAGGCTGGGTATTGCACGTACCACTCCAGGCTATTTGATACTTACCCGGCTGCTGGTGGATTTGACTTTTTGAAAATAGGGTTCATTTGATGCCAGTTCAGAAGAAAATCTGCTGGAAAATACTAAGTTCCTACTGCTTGATCACCAAAAGACTCTTAGTTGTAAAATATCATTTATATTTCCCTGTTCCTTCTTATTTTACTCTGAAAAGTTAATTCACTCTCTTTATCTTCCTCCTTCAGTTCTTATATATTTTTGTCTTAGATTGACATAATTAAAGATCCTCAAAACTGCACTGAAATGTTGGAGAAATTAAATATCTAGACATGGACTTTGCATGCCTAGATGACTTCTGCAGGAACTGTTGGAGAGGCTGTTCTCAGTGTTGGCTGCTGGCACTAGAAGTTGGTAATATGTCAACATAGGGATTACCACACTGAGGACCTCCTGTCCCTAAAACCCAGCCAACCTGTACATATTTTGGGCCACACTTGTAGCCATTATTTCCTATGCCTTCATCCACAAATGAACTCTTTACTGCCCTAACTCTCATTTAGCATCTGAAAGAGGGGAGTTATTAGCATGGTACTTGGTACATTACAACAGATTATATGGCTTTTGATTTGGATTTCAAATCAAGTGTAAGATATGTCGAACCACAGTCAGTGGGTGGCATCTGGAATACAAACCAAAGGAAGCCTGAACAAAACCCTGCTCCTTGAGGTTTTCTGCCTGATTAGTCTCTGCCTGACAGCCAGAGCACCTGATACCTGTAGAGAAAAAATGGAGAAAGTCTCACCCACTTTCACTGTGAGTCAGGTACCCCAGGTGTTCTCACTTACTTCCTTCAAAGCAGTATTCCACCACGTAGCCGTCCAGCCCTGCCGCCCCAATCTGGTCTGGGGGCCTCCACTTCATTGTCACCGAGGTGTCGGTCACGCTGTCCACTGCCAGCAGAGTTGGGGGGCTGGTAACAGCTGAAGCAGGCAGGGAGAAGGCAGAACGCCGTGTTACCATGCGAGGTTTATGTTTATGGTCTGTGTTTCTCTGGTTTGGTATCACAGGTGACGGGCTATTGTGCCTACCAGGATGATTTCCCACCATCCCTGGCATGTCTTTCCCAATTAGGACCACGCTAGGAGAAGGCAGCTACCTTATCCCATATATGCTCACAGCCTGAGCCAGAGATAAATTCCTCCTGCTGAGGAGAGAGAAGGACAAGCAGCTGTGGCTGGTAGAGCAGAGAAGTTGGGAGCAGTGTATTCTACCTCAGCAGGTATGTCCTGGCTGTGTTACAGCTCTGCTGGAGCTGTATCAGCCCCCTCCTTCCTCCTCCTCTGCATTCTGGGGGTGCTGCTGAGCAAGGGGGAAACCTTTGCTGATCTACAGAACAAGACACCTTCCTTTTACAGGGACTTGTGGTTGTCACAATAGTTTGAAAATCTGTTTCTTTATATGAAAAGGCCACTGAGTTAGCCTGTCACTGTGGGAATGACAAAGGCTTCTAGCTGTCACATTAATAAAAAAATTATGTAATTAGGTGATTTTAATAACATATTAATGGTTATTTTGTAAATGCCTACCTATCTCTGCTTTTGGTTACTTACCTAAAGGAACAAAGGACTTGGAAGGCATGCTTGGCTTGGACATGCCGATGGCATTGACAGCAAACACACGGACCTCATAAGCAACACCTTCAATCATTTTCTTTGGCTCAAAAGTTGTTTCCTTACACAGTTCAAAATTCAGCCTCATCCACCTGGAGCTTTGTTTCTTTTTCCTCTCAATGAAATATCCTTTTGATCAGAAAAGATTTTATCATAATAAGTGATGGCATAAAGGTCAGTAATAAAAGGTTTATTTTTTGACTGCCCAGTGACAATTTTTTACCTGGATACATCTCAATATTCCCTTCTAGCTTCAGAGTGATAATTTTCCTCATTGCAAGCTGTCTGAGAGTCACCTATTTGCTTTCATAGCCATATATGAGCTTTTTTTGGACTTAGAAGACTGCTGTGTTTAGTACAGAGTGAAAAGGGCCTGGTTCTACTGACCTCTGGGCCCCTCTAGATTTCCTCTTGGTTTGGTCTATTAAAAGATATTCCATTTTACTCTGTAAATTGTTTCTGAAATTTCTTCTAACACAAACAAATAAATAATAAAAATGCCAAGTTGGTTTTATAAGAGGTTGTCTTTCAAGTAGGGGACACGATAATGTAACAACATAGAAAATGACAAATCTCAAAGCTTTAGAAAAAAGAGATATTTGATAAAGTCAGAATAGGTAGAACTTTCTAGCTACTGGATATTCCCAGCACCACTTTCCAGGGCCTGAGCTATACTCTGATCTTGTTGCATCCACTCTTGGGTGTTTGCTTCTTTTGTCTGTATTAGAGAGTCACCACCAAAAAAAGTATGTACCTAGAATGGGTGATCCACCATCATTTGCTGGAGGTTCCCAAGTCATAATACACCAGTCTTCACCCACCTCAGTCACATTTGGTGCCTGAGGAGGATCAGGAACATCTGTTGTAAACAAAGTAAATATTATTAAAAAAAAATCTTCTTTTTGCATAGGTTGAAATTAAAAATGTCAAGTAAGAAACAAATCTAAATAGTTTTTGAGGTGCAAAAGAAATTCCTAATGAGGAGAGAGAGCAGGGAAAATGAAATTTAGTGGATCCTGGCTGGTGGTTAGGAATGGATGAATGCCAAGGTCTTCTGCTTGGTCAAGACACTTGAGAGGCTCTGGAGGGCATGTGCCGAGACAGAGCCCACAGCCACAGGGAGAGTGGAGAACCAGGAGGGATAAGGACAGCCTGAGGCAATCAGAGAAGTTTGGCCCCTGGCAGCAGCAATAATCAACTCCTACTTAAATCCCTTCCAAGCTCCTACTCCCTTCAGTAACACGCAGCCTTATTACCCTTGTATCCCAATTCCACACCTGGCAATGGGGAAAAGCAGGAAAATGGGAGTTTCCTGAGACTCTACCCCAGCGATAAAATACATGGCTCATGGGCTGTTTCATGACTTACCAACCACTTTAATGTTGATTAGGGCTGTGTCCTCTCCAGCCTCATTCTTTAAGGTGATTCTGAAAGGACCTGAATCGTCCCTCTCAGCTGCATCAATGACCAGGCAGCTGCTGTCTGGGTACGACTCTGCCCGTATTCTTCCACTGTCTGTGACCATCTAGCAACCACAGAGAGCAGAGGGAAAGGTTATATTTTCTGGATTTGAGAATCAAAATACTCAAAAATCAAAATTTGAAAGTAGTACAGGTCACTTCAACAAAAATATTAAAGCTGCTGTAAGAAAAAACACACCAAACCTCAGCATTTTAGTCACCTAATGATGAGAAAAATGACAAAATAACCAAAATAAGTAAAACATGGTCATTGTTTACGACTCAATTAAGCCATTGCATCACAAAGGATGAGGCACTAGGCTTGTCCTTCGAGGTAGAACACACTTTTGCCACCACATATCATTAATTTGATGGAAAAAGAATAGCTGATTCTTCCAAAAGTCAGATCAAAAGGAAGTCATTCACTTTAAACTCAGAGTGATTGGAAAGGTCAGTAGTTTCTCCTCACAGATTACAAATGCTCTCACATATTTTGGAGTAGGAGCTCTCCTAGAATAATTCCATGTTTGGACAGGACCACAGTGGTGACACTACAACTAATATTTGAAAAATAGTGGTCACAGATTGGACCAGATAGGTTTGATGAATGCACTAGTGGTAAAACGTCCCAGCTTCTGCTTTGCACAATGAAAATTTAAATGTGAAAAATGACTATTTTTGTATTTACACAGCCAGGGATTGATCTAAGCAAAAGTTTTGCTTTAAGATACCAGATGCAAGACCCCAATTACCCAGCCTGTTGTTTCATTTGAGACTTGAACTCCATTAGAATTTATCATTCATTTTCCAAAACCAGATCATATCATGGCTTCCTGCCAAAAGCTGGCAGCCATTCTGGGCATTGAACGTATAGAAGAAGTAGCCATTTGGTAAATTTTCACAACTTTTCTTCTGCATCCAATATATCCTTCTCCTCTACTATTTCTTATAGTAAACCCATTTTTTTTTCCTTATTAATTTCAAGCTTTCTTTAAAAAGACCCAAGAGATATGAAATAATATTTATCTGTTTTACCCTTCTTTTTTGAGCAATGAGCATTTTTAAATACAAGCCATCTCCCCCTTATTTCTGCCATTAAAATAAATTTCCTCAAAAGGCTAAAGATTATTTTTTGAAGAAAAAGGCTCCTGGTTAAGCTAAAGAAACATCTGCAGTGACAATGTACCTTGTCCCCTCTACTCCAAAAGACTTTTGGAGGTGGTTCACCAGTGATGGGGATCTCAAGTCGTAGTTTGTTTCCTGCCACTACTGTCACAGTGTTGTTTTCCCCAAGACCATCCAGGTGAAGTTTAGGTGGATCTGAAAAAGGAGAGATTGTCCAAATTAGACATGTAGCTGCTGCTCTGAGAGCTCAGTGAACTGGCATGGGTCTACAACACACAGAAACATGCTCTGTGCTTTACTGACTTGGTGTTTTTAAGCAACTGAATTTTGTTTTAAAGAAAAGTTGTGAAGAAAAATCTATTTAAGAAAATAGTTGCCTGATGAAAAAGAAATCATGGCATTATAGACAGTTGGAATAAAAAGACCATATGAAAAAAACACACAACTGTTTCCCTGAGGCAGAATTATGTATGTTCAGGTAACTTCTGAGAGCAGTTTCCTCTAAGTGGCTCTTGAGAATTTCAGTTGTGGGCTTTTTTTATGGCACATTTAACCACGCTTCAGCCTTCACTGTCCTTACTGTTTAAAAATTTATAAACCCCTTTCTGAAAAAAATCCCTTTCTGAAAAAAAAATTATTGCTTTTGTTATATACACTGTGTGTATCGAGAACAACTGATTAATGTCCTCTTGCAACTTTTTTTAACATACTAGAAATATAACAATTTGCATCGTTCCCCTCTAGTAGCACTTCCCTTTTCATTCTCTCTAAATCCCACCAACACTTTTTGTAATACAGATATCCCACATCTCCCAGTTCCAATTAAAAAAACATGTTTTCTAAAACTTTGGTCATTTATATTGCTCTGCTTTTGATTTCCAAGTTGCTGGTTGCAGCTAGAAGCTGGTAAGGCATTACTGTGGGAATAGTCAATGCTGCTTTTTATTTTTGTTTGAAGGACTGGGATCACTAACAAGCCTCCTGCTTTGCTGAATAAATCAAAGCTAGGCAGAACAATTTTTCCCTCTAGATAGCATTTAATGTTTTCAGTGAATAGGTAAATGTGTGCTTATTCTACTCCTCTCTTATCAAAACACATTTTGCAATGTAAGCAAGCCAGTTCTTAAAGACAGCAGTGTATATCTGAGTGTATATATATATATATATATACACACATATATATATATATATATATATCTGAGAAGCAGGTTTTTTACACAAACTCTTCATAGTGGTTTAGCTTTAGGAGCTCAGCCTCAAAAAACCTCCCCCAGGAACTCCCCCCAGCACATAAACTATGAGCAGATCCTGAGCACAGGCAAAGGACTCCTGCACTTTGCCAAAGCTGCAGGTCTGTTTTCTCTGGTGGATGCCTGCTCTGTTCAGAGGATACATAGTGGTTGTGGTCAGGGGATTTCACACAGCTTTAATTTCCAAAGGTCACAGAAAGTTGTTCTGTACAGGTCACTGTTCAGTCCACTTACCCACAACATGTACTTTGCATGGAATATTGATGTTGTAGGCATCTGGCACAAACATGTATTCACCCTCGTCATCAACAGCAGAAACTGGTATAACAAATCTGTGGATTCTGTAAAAGAATTGAGAAAGAAGTCTATGTAAATTATTTTTGAAGACTGCTTGAAGTTATAAGGAAAAGTCTGTGAAAATTTTAGGAGATCTGCGAAAATGAGTAAAATTACTGACTAAAAATCATTTACTTGTTGCTTAGTGGCAGTTTAGGTGATTAAATACTGTGTGCTTTGTACAAAATATTACTGAGACAACCACCAAATAAAGTAACCAATTCTAATATTGTTTGAACACAGAACAAGGAAAGTACAGGAGAGTAATCTCTTTTACACAGGGATTCTGTGCTGCTGCCATTCAATTGCAATTTGGTTGTTCAAGAAAAAATCTGTAGGTGATCCCATTGTGGGAATATTCTGACTTTTGTTGGAACTTTTTTGTGAGTTGATACAAACAAGAACTATGAGAAAAGGAGGCATAGAAAGGAAAGATAAAAGGAATTGTATATTTTAATAATATCTAACAATAATTTTCTTTTTCTACTTAATATCCCATACCAACATAGCAACAGTAATGGCAAGAAAAATCAACAGCTTGAACTTAGGTGGATCCAGGATTCGATTATTGTTCTCCACAGCCAAAATACACAAAATAAGATTAAAGGAAGCAAGGAGACATGGCTTTTAAAATGCCAAATAAATATGTCTTGAGGGACAGAGGTTAGGCTTGATCAGCAGATAATTTTTAGTGAGGTAACCCACATACTGGCACAACTCCACAGTGCCATTCCACCAAAAGCCACGTCAATACACAACAGGCTTACCTTCCTTTGTGATAAAGCTTTACACGGTCACTAGCTTCAATCAGCTGCCCATTTTTGTACCATTTCCCTTCCACATTCTCAGATATCTCACACTTCAAGTGGATTTCCTGTCCCAGCCTCACAGTCTGGTCTTCTAGTGCATGTGATATCTTCAGAGGTCTCACTTAGGAACACAGAAGCAGATGCATTAAAGAAAGATGATGGAGCTCAGTAACTGTGGGGGAGGGGGGTAATTTCCAACTTAATGATAAAACAGAATTGGTCAGGGTGCCAATTTGTACAAAATAGTCAAGAGTAGCATGAGCATTACAAATAAAAATGTACATTTATGCATAATAATAATTGCATAATAATGCAAGACAACTTCAGAGCATGGATCATATAAATTTTGTTTAAAGACACAAGCACTTTAAAGAGGTACTGCATAAACAAAGCTGAGAGGACTACACAGTCATGTGCTTGGGCCTAGGATTGGCTTTCCTGTGAACACTTCAAAGGACTGAGGAAAAGAAGATACTTCCCTTGAAAATTCACTTTGTTGACTTGTTGTAGCTTTGGATGGATTGCTTTGTTTTCCACATTAATGGTGTGACAGGAAGTTAACAAGCAGAACTAGTTCAAGCACTGCTGCTGGGAATAGTTTCTGAAGGGAAGTCACCATTCTGGAGATTCACAGCAAAAAAATTGCTATGGAAGTTAAGTCTCCTTTTCAACCCCCAGGGAAAGGCAAGAAAATTGTTCATTTCTGTCCGCCAGCACACTGTGGCATATGAATTTGAGAACAAGGTGGATGATACTCACGGTCAACTGAAAGCTTGGCTTCTGATTGCCCTCCAGTTGTCATCACTGAGTAAGTTGCAGTGTCATTTTTGGCAGCTTCCTCTATGACCAAAGTGTGTTTTTTACCCTCAACCTTAATTCGATACCGAGATTTAGGATCGTTGGAAAGTTCTACGCCATTTCTAAACCTAAGGAAAGGAAAGAATTTTTATTTTTCCAAAGGAAGTCATGTGCAAGTAAGACTTGCATAGACTGAAACTCCCAGAGGAGACAAGACTGTAAGGTACTAGAAAAGTTAAACTCAACCATTAATGTATAAGGGTATTTTTGGTGTTGCTACATTTTTTGAATAAGGTTTTATTGAGATTTTCTTAACAATTTTCAGGTTTACTTGTTTAGGAAATGCTGCCCACATTTTTCCCCATGATTAAAAGGTTCTGGATTTTGTTTTCATGGAAGCTGTTCAAAGTATGTCTTACCATTTCACATTTGCATCATCCTCAGACACTTCACAGCTCAGCTCTACTCGTTCACCAACATAGGTGTTGGTATCCTCCAGGCCTTTGGTCACCAAAATTGGCGGATCTTTGGAAAGAAAAAAGTACAGATTTATGATCTGAGAGGGAAAACTAAATTGAAGAGATTTTCTAAATTATGCTGTAGAAGGCAGTATTGCTTTCAAGTTCTAATATGGTACCAGTGCAACCTTTTCTGCATCAAATCAGAAAAGGTGTTGCTCTTTAGAATGCTAGTAGGAAATTTGCTCAATAAAAGGAACATTTCTTCATATTAATACCTGTTTTGCTTTGATAATCAACACCATAGGAACAAAGAGAGTGAAGATACGGCCTCCCATTCGTAAATGTTGATAGAATCCTTCCTCAAATCAGTGCAAATGGAATGAAACCTGGCTTCCAGAAAGCCCGATCTGAGGGCACTTGGACAATATCAGGGTCTTCAGGTACCAAGTGTGGTGTTAGGGGAAGCCAGTGCTATGACACACAGGTCTCCAAAATGGCTTAAAATTTTGAAGGGCACCACAGCCCCACTAGATCCAATGCACAGCACCAAGTTGACTGTATCCCCATTTCAGGGTTTTCACTAAGCTGCTAATTCCAGGATGAGAAAAAAAAAAAATGGCCAGGGATCACAGAAATGCCAAGTGATCCTAACAGCTGCTAATGCAAATTCTAAAATACACCAAACCAGATCCTCCATGATAATTTCTGTTGCAGCCAAAGAAGCCACATAAATTTAGGGCAGGTGAAACAGCATCAAGCTGACATAGTTACCTCTCACAAACAGTTCTGTGGAGCATTTCTCATCACCAGCTGTTACGTAATAGCGAGCATCGTCTGTCATCGTGCAGTTATTGATGAATAAAATTCGCTGGTTTCCTTTGTGCTCAAAAATGTATCTGTTTGGGCAGGAATGCAGCAAAGACACATTAGCAAAACTTCTGGAGTCCTTTTGTTTTATGTAGAAAGTGCTATAGGGATTTTTAGAGGCAAAAATAAGGGGGTTTACATAGTACTGGGAAAATTGTCCTTGGAAGCTATTTCCAAGCTTTAACAGAGATGTCATGGACTTCTAGCAAAAAAAGAGCAGTGGTGTAGAGTGGCAATGAGCTGCTTCTGGCTTGTTCCAAGATCCCAGGTCTGGGTGACATGAAAAGAAGAAATTAAAAATAATAATAAAAAAAAAAGCTGGAGTCAAATGATGGCAAGTAAAATGGAGTCTGAAACTCTAGATGAGTAAAGCTGAAAATAACCAGTAAGGGGACACCATCACTCATTCCAACATTTTTGTGAAGTGTAATAATAGCCAAAGTTAAGAGGTTAATATTATTGGTAGGCCAGATGGCACAAGATATCAGTAATGGGATATGGGGTTTTGGTAATGGGATAGGGAGCCTTTCACCTTTATGTCACCAGTTTAGATCTGCTTCAGGTTTGTAATGACCAAAGCTCATTAGCATCTGACAGCTGCTTCAGCTGCCTGGTAGAAATGCACTGGAGCACTCAATCCAGCCCCTCCTGCTGGGGAGCTCCATAGAGATGCCTGCAAAGCACCTCTGAATTGATCATGCCAGATATAGGGGCTAAAGAAAAGGTACTCTTATCCATTTTTTTGTCAAACATTAATTTTAACCAAAATCCTTTCTTGATTTCAACAGAATGAAGGAAATCTGCCTTATTTCTGTAAAAAGGCCTTTTGTTAATTACTATATTTTTTAACTGGTCAGAGGAAAAATTGTCTATGACTTTGTGCTGCTGAGAAATATTTGAGAGACATAATACTGTTATGCACATCTTCCCCAGGTGTGTCTGCCTGTGGAATGGGGTTTTCTGCACTGGGTTGTAAGTGTGGGTTGTGCCCACGAGAAGGACTGGGCTCAACTTCCAGGCACTGCTCTACATGAACTCAAATGTCTGCACCTGCACTTCTAGGAAAAGCCAGAGAATAAACCCATGTTCAGGTGGGACAGGTGAAGAAGCTTGTGTACACTAGACCTGTTGCTCATGACTGATGTTAACAGAGTAGTGGAAGATGAGACAAAACTCACACCCCTTTTCCTGGGGTTTATGAGCCAGCTGGGTAAGTTTGTGATGTAAAATCTCTGCTCTTAGCACAAAATTACTGTAGAAAGATTGTGTCCACCTCCAGACACAGGACCAAGGACAAGTGGTTTATTTACTGGCAGTGCTTCCTCATTTTTGAAAACTACCGAGTAGAAAATGGCACCACATTTTTTTGAGGACCTCTAGGACTTTTGTCTTAAGACAAAGGAGACAATCTATATTACGTTTAGCCTACGGTGTACTTTTTTGGGTCCTGAGCAACACAGCATCATTTGTATACTCTTCACATCTCATGAAATTCAGCAGTAAAATTGGTGCAACCTGAGCAAAGAGATGGGTCTAGGCAACACACTTGTCAAGGCAGTAGATGTGTATCCATTTTACTGCTCACATACGCTAAAATCACTTACTTTGCACTTGGTCGTATTTCTTGGCCATTTTTATACCACTTGAGTTCCACTGTTGGATCTGCTAGCTCCACCATGAATCTTACTTTACCTCCTTTGTCCACCTGGTATGCAGGATCGAGGCCTTTGGCAAAAGCTGTTGTGAAAGTCAAGTGTTAATTTAACATGAGATCAGAAAACAAGAATATGGATGCTGAAATGACATTACATAAATCTCGTCAAAGCTGTTGGAATACATGCACACAATGTTATGCATCACAAGATATTCTCAGACTGGTCTGCATGGAATCATCTAGAAACACTAGAATAAGCACACAGCTGTGCACATCTGGTTATCCTGACCAAAATCAAGCTGGCATCCCTTCAAGACTTTGCAGTGTGACTGTATTACAAATAGGACCGGCTAGATGCATCAAATGAAACACATAAATAGAAATGAATGTGTAGTACCAAGATATATGTTATGGTGTGAGGTAATGGATGAGGAGAGAGGGTGTATCAGGCAGCTGGGTTACAGCTGGATTTATGGAGGACTTCACCCACTTAAAAGGGACACCTCCAGGAAACCAGTGACTCAGTAAATGTATATACTGCATCCAGCTCTGAAATGCTGTCCAGGAACAAACAGATGCCACAACAGTATAATGGGCAGTGCATTGCATTTATATGTGTGTGCAAACATGTTCTGTGACGTATACAGTTATTTTATATACACATGTATATATATATTTCTATATGTAATTACATCTCTCATATTATTCAGTGGGTTGATGGGGAAAGACAGGCCTCAATATCCTCACCCAGTGCAGGGTGGAGGGTCTGTGGTACAGCTGGGATTTCTGAGCAATGGAGATTAAGTGCAAAACGAGATTATGAAGAGCAGACACTGCACATGTTTGCATGACCTCTGTTTAGAGCAGAAGATATTGATGGTAACACAAGGTCTAATTTCTGTATTGTTTGATCAGGTAACACCTTTCCACACACCTGGGGGACATTGTTCCAGATGGAACCAGTGTTTGTCCAAGAGGGAGAGATGCTTTAGGTAAGCACTGAGTTGGATAAGGTGTTTATGCTTCCACCATGGACCAAAGCTTCCTTCTGGTTAACTCCTTGCAGGAACGAGTTGTAGTGTGAAAGTTCCCTTGTGTGGAAGTGAGGCATATTTGGTTTTGTAAGGTGAATGGTTGTGTGTGACCAACGAGCCCAGGAATGTTCTGCCCCATCAGTACCTGCGCTCTTCTTCACCTCCCTGCGCATGCGCTTCAGGCGCTTCAGCATCCCCCTCAGGTCGGTGATGCCGTACTGGAAAGCGATCTTCTCGTACTCGCTGGGATTCGCGTTCTTCAGCAGATCCCACACATCCACCTCAGGCTCTTCCTCTTGCTGCTTAACCTCCCTGACATTAGCAAAATAAAATTATGGGGGAAGAGTTAGTGAGGCTTTATCACGCCATAAAAAAAAGGTGAAGCTGAGTCTATGGTGAGGCTAGAAATGTTTTGACCAAAATTTGAAGGCTGCCATCGTATCTTTTTTGTTTCATTCAGTATGAGTGGAGTACCTCAGAATGACATTCACTCCTTTACACTTCTTCAAGGCAGAATTTGAGTGCAAGTTTTAATTTATCCTTTTCTGATACAATCAGTAATGAGAATTTTTATATTGCTTCAATGCTTCAGAAAAAATACGGTTGGAAAATGTAACAGCATACAAGCTAATCCCACTTAAATCAGTTTTATCTGCTGGAACTTAAGTGGAATCAATCATAATTTATGATGGCACCACTTTTTTTTTTGATGGTACTTTTCAAAATCATATAAAAATGTTTTCAAACCCTGAGTCCCTGTAATTGCTACTGTGGGTGACTGGCGACAGGACATTGAAATGCAGGGGAGTTTGTGTCTGTTTATAGTTACACCAGTGCTTCTCAGCATTACTGAAAGTTGTCAAATGAATAGGAGCTGGAGATTTCCACACCAACTTGGACTTGAAGGATGGATCTGTTCACTTCCATGTGTATCTCAGTCTTAAGAGCAGGAAATGTGTTCAGAGGCCTGTGTGAGGAATCACCTTTACACAGAAGTTTCAGTACTGTATTTACTATCTGCAACTCCAGGCTAAGACAACCAATAAAGAGAAGTATAATTATTTTCTCAATGGCAGCCATTAAATGATAGAACAATGAAAGCATCCTAAACAAAATTATATTTTTTAAGATTGACAATTTAGCTCAAAAAAGTGAACTGCTAGAACAATACTGGAATTGAGGAAGAAATCTAGATTTTTCCTCCTGTAATATCATGAGGATCAGACCAGCATCATTCCAATTTGACTTAGCTTGTCTAACAAAATCAGTACTTTTGAGAACAGAGCAAGAAAATAAACTTTTGAGAAATAAAAAGTACCAAGTTGTGCAGTGAGGCACTGTTAGAGCTGAGCTTTATGGAGTCAAGAGAGGATTTTCTTTGACATATACAGAAATAGCACTAAAGATCCCTGAGAATCTCTGCATGGTTGGATGAGGAACCATGGAAACCACTTTGCTGATTAGTCCATGAAGTTTATTATTCATAATATCTCTGTAATTTTAAAAAGGAAGAGAGGTCCTTCCTGAGTAGTCTTTCAAAAAGAATAAATCTGAGGCAGCAATGTCATTTAGGCAATCTCAGGTACGTAATTTTATAATTTGTTCTTTTTATCCATGCTCATGCTTTCTGGAGGGTGACTGCGCAGCGAGTGCTGCCCTTTCAGTGAGATCCCTTCTGCATGGGGCAGGTGGAGACCAGCCCTCAAACACCTGTGAAAGCTGAGCCCCCCTGGGGCAGCTCTGTCCTCTCCCAGGACAGCTGCTCTCAGCCAAGGAGATGTGCACTCTGGGGGAATCCAAATAAAGCTCCCCTTTAAATCCGGCAGAGGTTGAGAATGAGGATCCTGATTTTCAACCAGACTGGAAGACTCAATTTCAGGCTCGTTTTCCTCTTGCATAACTGGAAAATGAATTTTGATGCTTAGAGCAAGCCAACTTTGTCCTGAGACCTCAGCAGTTTGAGCTGAGGCCAGAGGCCAAACAGAGCATGGTATTTCCTAAGCAGACTGACTTCTGCCACTTTCACATCTCCTTCCTAAATATGTGCATTTTATTGCAAGACATACTTGGAAAAAAAAACCCCAAAACAAACAAACAAACAAACAAACAAACAAACAAACAAAAAACCCAAACCAAACCAAAAAAAAACCCCCAAAAAAACCCCACCAAAAACCAAAACCAAAAAACAACAAAACAAGGACCTAAATATTTCAGTGGTTTTTAGATCTTGTGCCTCTTGGAATGTCATGCTGCTACTGATCCACTGCATTGACAAAGAATATCCAGTCATAGTGTGGCTTACTGAGATAAGACTTGATACGTCTGCCCGCCAACCAGCAGAAAATTAGAAAACAGACAGTATATTGATTGTATGGATTTAGGTTTGTTTTTTTTTTTTTTTTTTTAAAAAAAAACCCACCATGTTTCAAATAGTATGAACCAAAAGGGAAAAGTTCTAGGTCTTTCCTTGGTCATACAACCATAAAAAAAGAGAAAGAATACACCTCCAACATTGCCTGTTGTAAAAATTGAAATAAAGCCATGGATTTGTCTTTGTAGTAATGGATGTTAATATCCACACACATGGATATTAATATCCACACTGTGGCTTAATTAATAATTTTATTCAATTAAGCTCAGAAATATGAGGTTGCATTTCAGGGCCTGAAGCAAGTTGAACCAATTTGACCAAAGTCAAATTATGGTGTCTAAAAACTAAATATTTGCTTTATCCATTAAACACACAATAGATATTCCATGTTTATAAGTCTGTACAGTATTTATCTTATAAATCTTAAGAGTTAATTGTTAGTAAAGTTATATAATGTCTCTTAAATCACATTTATCTTTCCACAAAAACACCAAGAACTCTCACATGCATCTCTCATGTTACTATGGAAACACCACACAGACGGTCATGAGGACTGCCATGGCAAGTTTGATTAGTAGGATGAAAAGACAAACTGAAGGTCCTAATTAGGGATGAGAAGATTGAAAAAGCAAAGACCTGGTGGATTGGAATTGGTCCAGGTAATTCTTTGTCTACTTTCAGCTTCAGCTTTTCCTGTGTGCTTTAGTTGCTTAAATGCTATTCTTGCCCTTGTAGCCAATGAGCCCTGTGTGACCTTTTAATGCAATTAATACTACAGACTTTCCTCTTTCAGAGTAAGTGGTAGATGAGATAAAGGATGTAATTGCTTTTCCCGTTCTCTGTGATCAGCTGTCATTGATTTCCATGGCATATAGAATTTCTCTGCTTGATTTTAAAAGATAATGAATTAACTATCTTGTCTTAACCCAGTGAAAGACTAAACTGGGCTTAAGATCTGAGATAACTAGAGACATAACTATCATAACACCAGATTTTCAAGGCAAATCAGAGAAACATGTACCCCAGTTGTTTTCCTTCAAAACATTTGAGTTAAATAAAACAGAACTGAGCATTTGTGTGTAGATATTTTAAAAAAAGCTACAAAGATTTATACCAATATTTATTACTTGAAAGCATGATATATGATATTTTTCACATCAGGATGCTTATAAAATCAAGTGAGGATGTACCCATAGAGAGAAATTTAACGCTTACATATTTTTTTTTACTGTTGCACCAGACTCAATTTTCTGTACTGCTCATCCCTGTGTAGGAAATATCCCCCCTCTGCCTTCCATGCAAGCACAAAAGAAATAGCGAGTGAACTAAATGTTATTGGCCTCTTTAGGCTGAGGCTCACTTCTTTTCCCAGCACACTCAAATCTGAGGTTTCTTTTCTGCACACTTAAAGGTAAAAATAACAAAACATTTGCATATTATACTATGAGAATAAAAACCAGTTAGAAACATCAAAAAGTTGAAAGGTCACAAAATCCTTAAGGAGTTATTAATGCTACACCTGACTGTTTCTGTGGGAGAACCTAATGGTTTGCAATCCACACCTGCTCACTGCATCACTTGGTTCTCACCTACGTTTCAGGAGACCACTAAAGTCAAGTTCTCCTGCATCCTCTTGTCCTTCACCGCTGTTATTAACAGAAAAAGATCAAATCTTTGTTTAATACAGGAAGACTTAGACAACACTCTGCAAATGCTCTACTTCTCATACACTCAACATTGTCCAGAAACACAAATAATTGTATAAAATCAACACAAACTTGTATGCTTTTTCACATGGATTATGTTTCTGTAGGCACTTGTGAAAAATAACACAAAGGTTTGTATTGCTTCTTCTTATACTCTGATGGCAAATTTTTGTAACTGAGTACATAAATTTGCCAAGGTTTGTGTTCGATTTCAGTAACACAAACAAATGGCAGCTAGTCAACACAACCAGCTTTGTTTTTCATTTCTGTAGTGGACAAAACAAAGGGCTTGTGCTGATCTCTTGCTGTGAAATCAAAACAAAGATTTGCATTGCTGGGTGATGCTTTTAACAATGCATAGCTCTGTCAAATACTGGTTGAAAAGTACTTAACCTTGAAGATTTTACCTTTCTCTAAATGAAGGGAGAAAACAGTTATAAAAAAGAATAAAAGAGTACATTGTCCATTTTTACAGTCCTGTCAAGGTGCATTTCTTTTTATGATGTGATCTTTAGCAGAATTACCTTATCATAGAGCACATAGACAAAAAAAATGTCCTGAATATTTGTAAAAAGGGAAAAATAGTGCAAATCTTAACTGAAATTAAGCCAGTGTTTAATCAAGATTTTACGTGGAAGATATTACTTAGAAAATCAGAAAATACTGAGATAAGTTCATCTGCTTGGGCAGAGTAGTTACTGCATTTTTTAAAATGTGCTAAAGAAGGAAATGCACCTTGAATGTAATATCTTTTGTAATTTTCTTTTAATTAAAACTCCTAAATAAAATCAGTTATCTCTGGATAACAAGCTTTACTTGTAAATTAACATACTGCATTCATTATCTATTATAAAGTATTTTCATTCTATATATTTTTCATATATTTCATCAGTAAAAGATGACACCTATACTGGTTAGAATTGCTACTTTATCAGAAAGGTAACAAACCTTAAGACACAATGCTTTATCTTACATTCTCTGTACTATAACATTTGCTGGTTTTCCTTACTGATGGTATTTACTGTTTACTGTAAGGTAACAAAGCCAGATCCTGTCTTGAAATCAGTGTGAATTTTCTCTCTGCTTTTAATCAGTGCAGGATTGGGACCAGGAACTTTCATATTGTGGCTGACAGCTTTCAGGAAACATGCAGTATAATATTTTAGTGAATGAAAATACATTTTTAAAAATCTACAAAGAAATGTATTTAATTAATTTAAATGTTCAATCTTCCTTTAAATTAATGGCACTTGTAATTTCTCAGTAGGGGTATTAATATCATATGTACTATCTATGTGTTGTAACTATTTAGTTCTAACCACCACCAATTACTCAAAATCCCACTTCTTTAATCTATATTTACAAATACAGTTTTATAAAGTACTTGATACAATTTCTGTTCTGTGCCTGCTATTCATGCCCATTACTGAGGAGCTGGACAGGATCACTGAAGTTACCTTCTTTTGAAAGCAGATCTGATGTCAATGGATGGAGCAGCTTGGGAAGATTCTATGAAATAATGGTAACACAGGAGTTAAAACCACAATTTGAATAATTTCTGTAATCAGTGTGATTTGGAATATGAAATTTGTTCTGTTTCCTGCTGAATGACCAGCATTGTGCTTCCCCTTTGGCATTAGGTTCTGGCATCTACAAAGATGCTCAGGGCTAAGTGTGCCTTTTCTCTGAAGGACTCTCTGCAGTTCTGCATAGGAGATTTGTTTCTCTGGTGTTTCTCTCCATCCCCCTGCCTGCCTTATTCACAGGCTCTGGCCTTTTTGTCTTCCCACTTCCAATGCTTTCTCCCCTGCTGGCATCTTGTGCTCTCTCAGTACATTCAGCAGCAGAGGAAGGAGACAGTGTCAGTCTCCTCTGCAGCTACAGACTCACAATTACTTTCAGGGCAAGGAGGAGTTCCCCTTTTGTGAATTACCCCTTTGGGACAGTCTGGATCAGATTAAATGGTTCTGATCCACAGACAGTGAATGGATGGAGCCAGACTGGCCCCCACCCTGCTGACCTCTAAGCTCACCCACAAAGCTCTGAGTTTGTGTGGCACACCCTGATTTGAGTTCTATACTGGTTTTATCTGCCAGCTTTTCTAATTTTTTGGATAAATGTCTCACATGGTATCTATTCCAGTGATTCCAGTGTTCATTTAGACAATAAATTACAGACACAAGAAAATTCTCTGAGCTCTATGCTAAAAACATTCACTTTAAGTATTATTTCATTTAAAGGGTCTGAACAAAATGAAGTGCCATTTCAAATGAAAGAAAGAAAGAAAGAAAGAAAGAAAGAAAGAAAGAAAGAAAGAAAGAAAGAAAGAAAGAAAGAAAGAAAGAAAGAAATCCCTACAAATCTTTACAGATACAAATGGAACCTTACCAGTGACTTCAAGGTCAAAAGAGCAGCTATCAAATTTGTCCTTGTAAGATACTTCACAGCGATAGTTCCCTGCATAGTTTTCCTTAGCTTTGATGATCTGCATCTCAAATGTATGAATCTAAAAATCAAGCATAGTCGTTCATTAACTTGGGGAATGCATTTGCACAAAGCAGAAGTTAAAACATGAGTCTTTCAGACATGCACCAGAAACGAGTTAAAACTCAAATAATGGGCTCTGAAAAGAAACTGGAACCCAGAAATGGCATCAGAAAATTTTGATTTCCCCACCATTACTTGCCCTGAACTGGGAGAGCAGAAAATTTGCTTCTGCAGAGGGTCAGAGATCATCACTGAAATCTGTGTGGGAAGCCGGGGTTAGACTCCACTGCTCTTGAACTTCTGCCTGTTGTCTTAAACTGGTCTTTAAGCTCTCTTTAGAGCTTTGCTCCCATAAGAAGGAAAAGTGAAGACACACCTTAGTGTGGCGCTCGAAGGACTCCTTCAGCTGCAGGTGCTTCCCCGCTTTACTGGCCAGATCCATCCATTTTCCTTTAAACCACTTAACATTTGGCTTTCGGAGAAGATCTTTGGCTTCTACTTTGGCTATAAATGTAATATTCCCACCTTTCAGAAAGAGAAAAGAACAATGCAGTTGTTGAGGAACACGTGGTTGGTCATTTGCATCTCTACAAGTTCCTTTCACTTCTGCTCCATTCAGCCACCATGTGTTCTACCACAAAATTAAGAGTCAGATGCAGTCACACCGACTGTGAAAGTACAGCAGTGGTACAGAGGTTAATGATTTTGGGTCTGGAAGCTTTCTGCTGCTACCCTGCGTAAGATCTTGATATATCAATAACAGTACAGCCAACAGTATCAAAAGAACCAGTTTTCTTCCTGAGAAACTGTACCTCTTACCATTATGCTCAGTAAATTATTAGATTTTGAGCTTGTCTTGAATTAAACAATTGGGGTTTGCTTCTCTGAATCCAGTCCTTTTGCCTTCAGCGTGGCATTCACATCCAGCTAAAACCAGAGGCAGTACTTGCAGCTGAGGGCAGAACCTGAGTGCCACAGAATCTGCCCACACCATTCCCAGCTCAGCCTCTGTCTCAGGGAGTGGCTTTTGGTTTTGTTCTAGGCACTTACCAACACTCACTGTTCCACTCTGAGGTTTCTCGACGAATAAAGTGGATCTTTGGGAGTCATCACGCTTTTCTGACTCCTCTGGAGCTCCTTCTCCAAGAGACCATACTGAGATGCAGAGAGAGGGGGAAATATCAGTCATCTCAGGGTGTTTTGCTCCCTCCAAAGTACACTTACCTGAACTTCCTAAACTCTCTAGCCTAGCACCTTTCTCTTCAGATGTCCTGAAAGACATGTAAGCTTTTGTTCACACTGACATCCATTGCTTGGCTGTCACATTGTGTACAGTACCTGCAAGAATACTACCTCTGTGGTGATGGAAAATGAAACTCAGGGAGGAAGAGAGGGGAACCTGGTCAGCCAGGATGGGCACTGAGCAACTTGAAGGGCACCAGCATTCAACCATGAGTGCTTTACAGAGGTGATGCACAAAATGAGCTCTTTGTTTTTCAGAAGAGATGGAGGTTCTGAAAACACAAACAGCTAGAAGCACAAAAATCCCTACACACTTTCAGTGGATCTCTCTCAACCCAAACTAAGTCCATTGTACAAGCTGGTTCTTCCTCTGTGTCTGCAAAGTAGGGCAGGAATGAAGCTCACTTCTGAACTTTCTTCTTTTCTGCCATGACAGAAGCACAGAATTTGGGGATCGGTCAATACCATGTCCTGCCATGTGAATTTTATGTGATATTTTATGGAGAAAGTAGTTTGTCAGATGGAAATGATTGTGAAATATGTTCATATACAGCAGCTTCTCTTCTGGAAACTGGGACTTTGGAACTGAAAAGAAACAACAGAACTGAGAAAAGCAGCAAATGAGTGCTCTCCCCAGGGCAGAGCACTGTACCAGGATGGCTGTGTGTTTCTGGCTCTCTGTTTATCTGGATAGCCCTGGCTTTGTGCCACGCCATTACACCTTGTGTAAAACCATGGTCAAAACTGATTCCTAGCAGAAAGTACGAGGACAGAAGGGCAGTGAATGCCTGTCTGTTTTCTGCTCACTTTCTGCAGAGAGGCAAAGCTCATGTCTCATATTCCAATCTGAAGTCCAAATGCCACATCTCTATTTTTTGAGGAGTTATTGCCAGTACAGAGGGGAAACTAATTAAAGTTAGAGGTTAGAATAGTCTTTCTGATATATGTAGTGATTACAGCTGTGGGAACCTTTTCAACTCATGAAAATTTCTACCACCCATGAATGTGACCCAGCTCATGGCAACCATGGGAAAATGCAAACAAATTGGTTTTATTATCCTAAAGCTTATTATGAATTTTAAAAAAGGTATCAAAATGCTAGATAGCTTTGCTATAATGTTTTATTGTTTCAGTCAACTGTGGGTAGTGTGCCTAGCACCTCTGTATATGCCTGCTTGTGCAATATTTCTCACAGGTAAAGACATTCATGTATATACACACATGTATGTACACGTATATACACACATACATGAAATGATTTACACAGACATAAATGAATGCAAATATATATAGAAACATATCTATATATACTCTCTATAATCTAAATTTTTAGATTATACCACTTGAACATGGCAATATATGGAAACAACATGAGAACAAGTGAAGGTTACTGGTAGTAAGAGGATGAAGTGATGATAGCAGGATGAGGATCTGGTCACGTGCAGCAACAAACCTAACATGCCACGGGATGAAATGGAAAAAGGATATTAATAAATGGAAAAAAGCTTACACAGAGTCATTAATTTGGTACCACATAAAGGAACACCTAAATATTATCAACACCTCTAGATATTAACACTTTCCTATTTATTAAACAAAGAGAAGGGGAGGTGGGTTTGACGCGGGCTGGCATAGGCGGCTATGCCAGGTCCATAACCATGGTTGAAGTACCAGCTGCTCATTTTGCTCCAGAGGCTGCAAATCCTGAAACCACGAGCGTGGGTGCAGTGAGTTACCTGCCAGGGTAGGAAGAGAGAGGTTATGATGATTTTGCTAGGTTTTCCCCACCGTCCTTTGAGGTGTGAGAAGGAGCCATTCTCCTACAGTCTTCTGGGACCTGTGTGTGGGATTCGGGTGAGGCTGAATGTAGGAATGGAATTCCTGTAGGCTGAGGAGGAATGGAACAGCTATGTATCTATCTATACAGACACAGATATAGATAGATAGGTATGTATGTATGTGTCAAATACATGTCCTGTTCTGTGCAGCACAGCCTTATCCCTCCTGGTTTAGCTGCTAGAAACCTATTTGCCCTGGTACTTTGAAATATTTCAACAGCTATAGTTTGCTGCTGTCTAAACAATGAAAATAAAGTATTATCTTTTAAAAATAAAATCTAGAAAGTATTTTTATTATGTAATTTTGGGAGTGTTTCGTCATGTTTCTCAGGAGGTCTCACCTGAATCCTTTCTTTCCGCTGGCTTAGACATCCCATCTGAAAGGGAAGAGCAATTTAGATGACACCAGCTCAGAGATCACAGCTTAACTGGCCTCACATCACTGGGATTTTAAACACTGATTCTTCATTCAAGAAGATTAGACCAAATATTTGGGACCATATCCATGAGGAACTACTTGAATACCAAAAAAATGTGAACAACTAAGAAAAACCCCCAGAAATCTTCCCCACTTTTCTCTAGAAAATCTAAATTAGTTTAATTCTGTTGAAGAGTTTTTTTGGAAAGGTTACATGAGGCTGATGTTTTTTCTATGATTTGTGTAGTTCCAGGTAACAGTGGAATTTCCATTCCTTAATATTTGTGTGAGGGACAGTATTTTGATTATTTAAACAGTATACTTATTTATCTGGAGTTGCTTTTGGATCCACCAGCCAATATTTTACCTTCCACTGGGAGATCTACTAAAGACCTCAAGACAGGTCTGGAAAGGGTCTAGTTCTGAAGAGAGATTAATAAAATATAGGGCACTTTAAAAAATTTTCTTTTTCAAAAGTCATATGTTTTGAGTTCAGTCTGCCGGTTTGGACTCTTTTTTCATTAATAGTCAAGATAAAAATACATACATACATACACACAGAAAGCATTATCACAGTCCTAACCTGCTGGTGGAGTACTAACTGAAGTGTCATCTTCATCTGTGAAAAGAAATACAAATGAAAAAGCACGTGAAGAAACTGAAAGCACAGACGATCATCTGCTTTAAAACAACTACAAGAAAATGTAAAACCTGCAAAAGAAAGAGAAATAAATTGCAAAATTCAGGAGCATTCACAATGGAAGATTCAAACTGATGAGGAAAGCTTTGCATAATTCAGTAGCTGAAATGGTAAACCTTGATGATTCAAGCAAGTAAAAAACAAAATGAGATGTGGACTGTGATCTATGATTAAATCATGAGTTTATATGAGAGCTGCGGAGTGATTCTGTTTGTTAGAGATGTAATCTACAGTAATTACAATAAGAAAGCCACAATGAAATGAAGGAGAGTCACATATCTAACCTGAGGAAGATGTCATTTCTCTGATGACCACGTCTGCAATTAAAACGTGCACCACATATGCATTCAGCATTATTAAATCAAGATATGAAAAAGCTAAAATTAGTCCCCTCTATTTATACTTTGTAATTTCTATACTATAATATTAAGTGCAAGGAATACACAACTCAGTTTTTTCTCATATCAACAGGAGAATAATTTTAAATAAGGAAAGAATTATTAACACCATGCTGGATTTTCCTTTTGGTCACACTAAAAGTTGACTGTCATGAGGTATTAAATTGCTACAAACAACTGTTACCCAGATATTTAAAAATGTTTCATCATATAGAATATGTTGAGGCTTATATTTATAAAAATAAAAAGCCTGAGAAAAACATGAAACTGTTGTTAAATGGAAATATTGTAATCATGATTATTGGAAAACCAGAATAAGGTAATGACCATTTTTACAAGAGTCTTTTTGAATTTTAGATGTTGACTAGAAACCTCAGAGACCAGCTTTGATAAAAATAATCAAAAGGTCTTAGTGTTTTAAAATCCTAATGGTAAAAAAGCAAGAAAATAACCAAAGTATCCTTTGAAAGATAAAAATAAACTAAATATATTTAGGATTTAATATATAAGTTATATGAAGATAACATGTTTTTATACAGGATCAGAAAATAATCTGTAGAACACTTCAAAATGGAGAACAGAGCTAAACAAGAACAATTTTGGAAAAATGTCAACCCACACTTTTAAAGGTAGTTTTTTTGGGGGTTGGATTTTTTAATATCTTGTGGTTTCTATATCTTTGTGTTTCCATAACGAAATTTTAAATCTGAAGTTACTCTTTGATTTTGACCTTAAAGTTATAATTTATCTATATTTTTTCAAGGAAAAATTTCATAACTATGACAAAAGCACAAATGAAATATAGTTATGTTTTCATAAACACTGGCAATATTGAATTTTTGGGTTTGTTTAACCACTGAAGGCTAATTAAAAGCCTGTTAATAGAATTTGTCTACTTCACTGTAACATTTTACTCATTCCTTTTTAATGATTCATCAAACTTCATTTTAAAGATCCCTTGGGAGGAGGATGAAAGATGTAAAAAGTATGCCTACACACTACACATGAAAGATTAATGTGTTATCTTGCAAATATCTTTTCTTATTCATTGGAAAAAAAAAGGATAATGGAAGAGTTCTCATGATCTGCATCATCCAGATGATAAGCAGATGTTGAAAATGTTGATTTTCAGCAAAAGTACAGTAACGATTAAGTCATGTCAGACATTTTAACACACTGCATTAGCAGCTAAATGGATGCAAGTGCTTCCACTGCAAATATTTCTCCATATTACATGAAAGCATTAAGTGCACTTTCAGCTCTTTTTGTCAGTGATGGTGCCATTGTGATTGATGATGGCTCAAAGAGGCATTTGACTGAAAAAAAAAAATTAAGACCTGCATAAAACATTTGATGTGATGCATCCTACATGATGATGTATGATAATCAAGTTATGAAAGGACCACTCAGTTTTCTCTTTCATTTAATCATTTGAAAAACTAAAAACCCAAAAAGAAGTTATTAGTTTTGCAGGAGGATTGCTGGGGTTTCTCAAGGGTAATCTCTCATTTTTCAAACAAAATGTTAACATCAAAGACAAACAAAGGAAACAAACATGTCAGAAGTATAAGGATGAAAGCCCAATTGAATGTTTTAGAAATGGAAAGAGTATGACAACACTACATGCTGGAGGGATTGTTTTGATGAATGGGTAATTATCAATCCATCACTCCTTCTATCTCAGGCTTCTAGGACAAAATGACTGACTATTGGTTCAGCAGCTACAGCCAATTCAGTTTCTGTGATGAATGATTGTTGATGCTAAAATAAAGTCTATTTGAAGATAACAAAAATAGCAAAAAAACCAGATCTGTCAGTAGAACTATGATCATTCATTCACTACCCTTACCTTCTGCAAGTAAACTTTTAATGGGATATATTTTTCAATCTGTTGCATGGTAAGAGTTTGTTATGGGGAAACCAATTGATTCATTAGACAGTAGGCTGATAAGATGTATTACTCCATAGAAATCTTTATCCTTTGCCCGTGGCACACTGCCATTAACATATAGGGTAATTGTGTTTCTTTTTCTTGTTTCTAAATGATAACATTAAATGTGGAGTACACTGAGCTGTATCAGGAATAGATTCTTGTTGGATGAAAGAACTCTCCATATCTCTAAAGAAGCTAATCTAAACACAGTGTAGCCTTAACATTAAAATTTCTGACTGCTGGCACAAAGAAGTAGAAATACATGTCCAAAATAAAGAAATTACTGGTTTATATATGAGCTGCTGCTATCAAGAATTTTAGACCTACTTTCTCCTGGTTTGAAATATCCCACACAAAGTGGAAGCTGCTATTCTGCCATCAGCCAAATTGTTGACAAACTTAACGTTGTGAAGGAGTGTCAAAAACCTATTAATTTTATATTATTTTATTTTTCTATTCTACTGTTTATGCAGAAATTACAGAGCACAGCAAGACTGAGAGTTTCAAATTTAGTTGACTTCAAGTAGCAATCTGATTTTCAAAGGGAGTCCAGCGGTCCCATCAAAGGGACTTGGAACTTTGGAATGGTAAATGAAGTACATACACAGAGAGGGGAAGTTTTAGGAGGGAGATGAATGGATAAGTGAAACCTGGGAAAATACAAGGATGACACATGCAATGAGCATTTTAGTAGATGGTTGGAAGAAACCTAGAGGAAAGCTATCAGTAAAATATGCAGAGATTTTAGTAGATCTCTGAATGACTGGATGGGACCTAAAAAAAAAGGAATGAGCAAATTGATATTAAAATTTTACTATTATTCCAGCAAGTGGGAACAAAATTATAACATATTCAATCTCTATGATAATACTAAAATTAGAAATGAAGACACAAGCATTTAAATTGAATGAATATAAGACAATGTAGTAAATTTGGAGGATTTGTGCTGATTCACTTTGTTTCTTTGAAAATAAAATGGATGATCATATATATCCTGAATTTTTACAACATTATTATAGATCTTTTAAAACTGGTTTATTTTATGAAAGAAAATTTTATGTTTATTGCTCTGAGCTACTAAGTTACAGAAAAATAACCATGTGATACAAAGAATTTACCACACTGTTTTTCATTTCATAACTTTACAGTGAACACAAAGGAATATAAATACGTAATTCCACACAGACAATAAGTACCAAAAAGAAATAGAACAGTAAAACAGACACACAGATAGGTATACTCTATCTTCCTAATGTCTGTTGTTAATATTTTCTTAGGGATGAAGTGAAAATGATGGGATTTACATGGACTACCAAGATTTCTTTCCTAGGTGTCAGGTTCCAGCACAGTCCCATTTCAGGTTCCTACAGTGTCTATCTCAGAAATTACAGGTCACAACGGCTGGCACACAAGTATTGCATAATTGCTGTTCAATTCAGATATTAAATGTTTCCCATTTTGTTTCCGTTCAGGGAAGTACCTAAATCTGCTACTTCTGAATCTGCAGAAAGTCTTTCACATATAGCTAATATAAAAGGTAATGTCTAGCTGGTTCTGTCATAATTTCCTTGCTGAACTGTTCATTTTCAAGTGTAAATTATTTTGGAATGAATCCAGGTTGGAAGAATGGAACCTTTTTACTTTTGGTGAATTTTGCTCACCATTATAAAGACTTTTTTTTTTTTTTTCTGGCACACAAACCTGAAAGAATAAGTCTGTGAAAATACATTTTCCCTTATTTGGTGATATTCTGTAATAAAACAAGAGCTGATAGGAACAACTGCACTGTAACTAATTTTTAGAAGTATTTCTACTGAGTGTCTGGCAATGACATCTACTTTGCTTTGCAGAGGTGACAGTTTCACTGGAGCATGGCAGAAGGTCGTCTATCTATTAATATTCAGACTTTCATTGCAATTTTTATGGAGGCAACAGCTGCCAGCATGGGTTGAAACTGGGAAAATTCTCCATAGTAGGATCTCAAAGAATATTTTTTGGTAGCAAAATCCTCCTAGCAGGTTTCTCTTAGGAGGAACATTTTTCCTCCTAGTAAATACTTGTCTCCTTCACTAAATTCAAAACAGAAACATAATAATCTATAAGAAGATAATAGAAGTTTTGGATAAGTTACCTACCATGTTTTCATTTTTATTCAGTGAAATGTAGGCTTGTAAGCAGTGAGGAAATCACCATTCTTGTTCAGTTTGGAAAGAAACATTTTTCTCATATCCAAATTAAAGCAAGCAGAACTAACTGTTGGAATAGCTTGAGGCAAGACTTTCATCTTTTTTCCTATCATTAGGCATGCAAATTATTTCTGAATTGCATTTCCATTACCAAGTTGACAGATTTGATTACTCACACAAAATTTTGTGTGTCAAAATAATCGCTCAATGCACAGATAACTGGCAAAATAGCATGCACTGAAGCCTGGTTCAGCATTCTTATTTTCAAAGGGGTACTTTAATCACACATTCTTAGTGTTTATATTTTGACTCTGCTGAGAGAAATAGCCATGCGTGCCTTTGCCCAAATAAATCTGCAAGTATCAAGTATACATCCAGGCTGTCTAAAAGGGAGGATTTCGTTTGGAAGACACCAAAAGCCAGAATACATTTTCAAGCAAGCCATTTCTTGATTTGCCATGAAAAAGCATATCCATGCCAGATGAAAAGCAAGCATTGCATCAGTTGTAAGCATATCTTGGTCTGCTTTAGCCTTTGATCAGAATTAAGTTTTAAAAAAAGAGATTATTCTTTTCAAAATAACCTGATGGGGTGTTTGATTTCTATTTTGGCAGGGCTCCTACAAAAAGCAGAGAATTTGGCCCAGTTCCTTCAAAAATGCATCCTCCTAACCAGAAGAATTGACAACAGAGCTAGGATCTAATCTCAGCAGCACAAAAATATGTGTGAAAACTGGAGCTGATTATTGCACACGCTGCTGGTGGAACAGTTATCTATTTGTTCACAGCAGACAGTCCTCAAACACACTTTTCAGAACCTGTAAAGAACCTGAGCTCATCTGCTGGCCTCCCAGTGAGGGCAGAAAGATGAATGTGTGATTTTTAATTTCGGATGAAAAGAAATCTTTGGGGCTTTCTGAAAGGTATAATATCAAGTTTCTGTGGTAGAACAGAAACAGCTTAGAATGACAGTAGGACATTGTCCACTTGATTTAAAAGCAACCAATGTGCACAGTGTCTGAGTTTTAGCAAGCTTGGTCAGGGGCAACAGCCAGGCTCATTTAAACACAGCCTTCTGCTCATGCAAATCCCTTGTAATTTGATCCATTAATTGAAAAGTCAATATAAATACTGTTGCTAAAGCATCAGTCTGGCTTGCAGGATTTTGGAAGATATTCATGAGTATCATAATTTCCTTGGGCTCGCTAAGTCATGCAGAAAAGGGATCTAGGAAGCCTCATATCACACTTCTGAAATTTAGCACCAAAATTCTGAATTAAAGCTCAAACAATCCAGCATCAGAACAGCATTTAGCTTTCTTTACTGCCCATTTTTAAAGTATGGTTTCAGACTTACCTTTACCCTTTTCATTTCCACCCTCCTGTGGTGTTTTTTGTTCTGTGTAGGAAGTACAAGCATAGTTTTGAGAGGATCTTAAAGTAAAAAGAAAGACTTACACAGCATTAAAAAAAAATGCAGGTTCTGCTAGTATTGGAAAAACAACATTAAAGAATGATATATATGTGTATGTAATATACAGTTGCAATCCCATAAAACATTTTACAACCTGTGCATATCAATGCAATTTCTATGTTTTGAACAAGTCATTTAAGATTGATGTTCCTGGACTCAGTGGAAAAAAAAATAAATTGGGTTTTTTAGAAGCAGCAGTTGTTAGTCTCTTGTTCTTGGGCTAATTTGCAAAAGCTTTTGAAATGAGTTACATATTATTGTTAATTGGATAGAAATTGGATCAGACATGAGTTACTGCCACTCAGTTGATCCTTAAGAAAAAGTACAGAGAGAGTGTATTGAGGATATTCTTTAATTCTTTATCATCATCTTCATCATTATCAACATAGTCTTGCCAAGAATACTTGTATTTAGTTTTCTTGATCAGAACTGCCAGCCTGTCCTCTACTCCAAGCAGGTGAATGTGAATTATTTTTGACCTCAACTGTATGAGCAAAATTTGGACTGTGCTTTAAACAAAACAACAATTTCCACGCTTTCTCTATTTCAGGATTTGATAGGATTCCCATTGGTTTTGGTTTCCTACTTCATTCAATCTAGAATCTTGTCAAACCATGTGCTGTCTTCAAGGTATAAACACTCAATATCCTATTGCCTGTGAACAGCTTTGCCTGTGGCCAACTTACCTGTCACTGCCTGACAGAACATGGCTTTGGGTCAATAGACTAACATTGTCAGGATGGAATTAGGATAATTTTTGTTCCATGGAGAAAACATCTGCAAGAGCCAGTTAATGCTCTGATTATCCTGATTTCTTGTTAACATATGTGTAGCCACAGTAACTGTGAAAATTAAAGCTGAAACTTAAAAGGAAACGCCACATTCTGGTAAGGTGACAGACTCATGGATGCTTCTGTCTGGATTCCCTAAATTCCCAAGCTCCAGTTGTCAGGTTGTCCACCTTGCCCAGATATTCCTTTTTAATGGGACTTTTGCTAGAGTAACGCTTTCTTTTCCGAGTAGGAATGGGATCAGGAGATTTCACTGATCTTGGCAGATGGCAGCATGTCTACATATTATTTGAAAACTTCATCAGTCAAAGTGCTCCACACTTGTAGCTTGACATTGAGATCTGGAAAGACGTCTCACAATGACTTCCCAAAAATTTCCTGGTGCAGTTCAAGATGCTTGGTTATGTCCAATAAACTATTTGTAAGTTATAAAATCTGGAATCTTGAAACCAACTTCCCTCTCTGTGTATTAGCAATTGATAATCCAAGATGACAGCATCTTGAATCAGGCAGAAGGAAGCCAGAAGTGACTGGCATGTCCATCTTAGAAATATCCCAGTTTGGTCTGTGCCTAACATAAAGGCCTAATGACACCCTACTTATTTTTCAGAAGAAAATCAGGTAAGGAGAAAACAAAGGAGGTTATAGAAGTGATTTTGTATTTAATCCAGCGCTTTTACATAGAAAGGAAAATGGTAATTTTTTGAAAATGTTAATAGATATTTTTAATGTAACGCTTCAAAGATGCTATTCCTTTCTGTATATAAAAAGCTGTTTCTCATTTCAGTTCTACTTGAAAGTTAAGACTGATCAAAAACACAAATTCAAGTACTAAGTATATCAGGTAAGACCCTAAGGGTGAAATTAATTAGTTTAATATTAACAGTACAAATTTTATGGTTGAGTAAAATATCATTAATTAAAAACCAATTAACTTTCCATACAAATATATGCAATATGAAAGAGTTCATCACATAAAAATAATATGTGGATAATTTAACCATGAAACTCCTTGTGGCAAATGATACTTTTGTCATTTTTTAATGAAAGTGTGTATTGTTGAAACAAAGACATCTTCAATCAGGCTTGTAAAATGCCAGTTATCAAGACAGTAAGTAAATGCAGATTTAGCACTTTTAGGGTATTTGTCCTGTTTGGAATTGCTGTTTAGGTTGCTATATAGAGAAAAATACTCACCAAATGGTTACATGGACATGTATATTGTAGATATATGTATTATATATTGACATTGTGTATCTATCTATCTATGCAGATATCTATATAGAGATATGTCTACACTATATATCTGCATTATCTGAAAAAATAACTGAAGTTACTCAATGGCACAAGGCAAAGGCTTGCCCACCTTTCCAGTCCACTAAAGAGAACTCTTGTGCTTTGCAAAGCCGCAGCTTTACCTGAAGCCCTCATCCTTATGAGTGAGTTTCACCTCACCTAACTTTGGCTTCCTGGAACTCAGCCACTCCATTCTAGACAATAAATCTTATTCTAGACAATAAATCAGACTTCTCAGGGCAATTGTCTGCACATGGATATCTAGTGACATTTTAGATAGTATACCTGGGAAATGCCCATTGATGAGCATGTAGGACCCAGGATGTGCTCCACTGGTCAGAGCTGGAGCTCTTGAACTACTTAGACATGATACATAATTTTCAAAGGGCTAAAAGTTAGGGCTGAAATGAATCCCATGCTTGATTCTGTCAACTTTACTCACAGTGTACTTTTGAGCGAAATGAAAGGGAGTATTTTCATGAAAGGGAGTAATCAGATGCTGCTCAGAATCAAAGAGGACAATTTAACCAGATAATTTAAGCAGCCATGATTTATCTGTATTCTGAAGGACATGTGCAATATTAAGCAAACAACTAGTTACTCACAAACAAAAATTGAGTCTGAAAAATCAGTATTAAGGCAAAGTGAAGTGAGGATATCTTACTTGGGCAGGCTTTTTTACTTTCCTTACTGTTCTCTTACTTTCAAAGAGACAATGAACACAAACCATATTATGGCTATGCACTATCTAGTCTCATGCAGCTGTTAGTGCCACAGCTCAAATCAGCATTTTTTACACTAACCTGGAGGTGGCGGTGCACTTTCATTTTCAGTTTCTGAAAAATGAGGAAAGAAGACAGATATTGAGCTTCAAATACAAGCAAATATTTTTCATACATTTGGTATATGTTTGTTGACTTTGAGTTCTTTAATATTTAAGTGCAGTTGTGAAATTTATTTTGCTTTCACGCACGCAACATGTGGCAGCTTCAGAGTGACAAGGTCAGAGATCTAAAGCTCTTGTTCTGCAAAGGGAAGTTAGTGAAATTGTTTAGTGTGGAAATAGACAGTATTAATAGAAACATAGAATCATTTAGGTTGGAAAAGATCTTTAACATCGAGTCCAATCACTAACCCAGCACTGCCAAGTCACGACTAAACCACATCCCCAAAAACCACATCTACACATTTTTTAAATTCCTGCAGGGATGATGAGCGCAGTTTTCTAGGCAGCCTGCTCCAGTGCTCAACAACCCTTCCAGTGATGAAATTTTTCCTAATATTCCATCTCAACCTCTCCTGGCACAAATTGAGTCCATTTCCTCTTGTGCTATCACTTGTTACTTGGGAGAAGAGACTGAGCTCTACCTGTCTGCAGTTTCCTTTCAGGTAGTTTTAGAGAGGGATAAGGTCTCTCACTCAGGTGCAAAATTAAGCAAAATTTCCACCAACTGAAATAACATCAGATATGATTTTAACTTTGAAGTGTAATGGATCCATTAATTTAGGGGGATTGCGCAGAGTGAATCCAGAGACCTTTACCTCATTTTCAACCACACCATCAGATATAGAGTTCCATGTTCAGTACAAGAAGAAAGTAAAAGAAAAAAAAAAAAAAAAACAAACAAAAAACAAAAAAAACCCCACCACAGTTTAGCTGTTCTAAGTGGAACCTGCAGTATGTTTGTGTTTTCTTTCTTTCAATGATGATTTTTAATGTAAATCAGTTCCCTTTCCAATGTGTGATACACAAACCAGGCTTTTTATCTTATTGAAATGCTATCCTTTTGGATAACATGTTCTCCCAGGTAAAAACATAAGAACAAATTGACTAGCTAAAATATATTTTTAAAACAGAAAAGGAAGCTTATTTTCAACCTTTAAAAGCTTTAGGAGTCTAGACACTTTGAAAACAGCAATATTTTTTGGCACTAGTATTGACTTACAGTTTAACTATTTATAAGAAGCGAAGATTTAAAATTAAAACCTTGAACTTTTAGAGTAGATGGCTCTTACTAACCTTTGTTATGTTGTGGATATTAACACTTGGTATCCCACCTCAGGTCAGATTCAGGAAAAAAATTTCAATCTCTGTCACATAGAAATGCTGAGAAGGCTATTCCTTTACACTCAGTTCTAAATATAACTAAAACACAATTCTCATTCTTCATAAGTCCATATAGTGTTTAAAAGGGATGAATATTATTAGTGCAAATATAATTTTAAGCTGAGTGTGTGAATTTGATATGGCTTAGGAACTTCCAGTCACATACACAGATACAACAGCAAATCCTTGTAGAGGTTCCAAAAACAATCCCTTGCTACAAGAAAAGAGCTTGTGTTGTATGTTCTGATCACAGCACCCACCACGCTACAGAGTGGAAGGAAGTATATTAAAGACCAACACACAGAGTGTGAAAATAATGAAATATCTTTACATAGATTCACAGCAATTTATTTTTTTCTGGTCTAATTACTGACATACTAAGTTTTGTTTTGTGGCCAAGAAAAATTTTCATATGAAGACATTAAAGTTGTACCACAAAGAGTATGTCTGGGAACCTATTTGCTTTGCTACCATGACATTTCTCACTGTTTCTGCTGAGAGTAAAAAATTCTGTTGAGACATCATTGGGAGTATGGAAGTATGGAAGACAGCATGGAAGTATGTTTCTTGCATGGAAAAGTAATAGCAGAAAATTATGGATTGTATAATTTTCCTTGTGAAATTTAATGGCTAGAAACAGGGAGTATTCTTATGAACACTGGATTAGAAAACCCTCCCTAGCTCACCAGTGAGAGTTACAAACCTATAATTAAAAACTCAACAAATATAGCACTTTCCACTCTCAGATGAAAGGCTTATGAGACTTTTGAGGGACCTGTCTTGAATTTTTCTTTCATGTTGAGAGGTATTCCATGGCTCCGCCAACACTGTAATGCTGCTCAGCAATCACACATCTTACAAGTCCTGCACCACCCAGCACAGATGTTAGCCAAAGTCTGCAGCACAGACCAGACCTGAAACATTATTATTATTATAGTCTAAATCTCATCTCATGCATGTAGACAACAAAAGGAGGCATTCAAAACCTGAGCACTCTCACAGGCAACATACTCTGTTGGACCCTGCTCCTAGCAGAGAGCTTGGACTACACTTTCTCCAAAGGTCCATTTCCAAAGTTCCTTTCCAATCTCAGCTATTCTGCAATTCTGTGATGGAACAGTGACTGAAGCCAGAACAAGAAGTCAGTGGTTTGTTTCCTAAACCGTAATTCAAGGCTGTTCAGGTTACTGCTAAGAAAACTGAGGCAAGAATGGAGCTCAAAGGAGAGACCTGAAGTATAATGTGGGAAGAAAAAAGAAAAGGGGAAAGTTCCAGGCACTGTAGGTGGCAGAGACATAGGAGATACTTCAACATAATCTTTTGGCCATGTGCAACCCCTTTCATGGTCATGCCTGGCTTACAGTTCCTGAGGACAGCCAGGAAAAAAACCATTAATAGCTCTGAGTAGTTTCCACCTCCCCAAAGAATGATAGCCCTCTCTGGCTGACCTCTGCAACAGGCTTGTCAGCCAGGACAGGGCTCTGCACTCTCAACCAGCAGCTTATGGTTGTGCTCCTTCCCTAGGAGGCATGCTCCCTGGAGTCCCCACATGCCATTCTCCACAGTCTGTTCCCTAATATGGTGCTCTGTCCAGGCATTGTCAGGGCTTTGCTGGTGGAGAAAGTCTCCAGCACGCAATCCTCTATCCCTTTGGAGAAGTGCAGTTCACTGCCTTGCAATGATGCCTCTTGAGCTGAAGGGGAAAGAGGCTGTTGAGGGTCCAGTTACCACTGAATTGACACCATAATGTCAAGTGTACCTTCTACAGAATAAATGAAGTCAACTTCTGCTTCAGAGTTTCTGAAACAAAAGATCTCTTCTTTGCACTTCTTTATTAGAGAACTGAGAATGTTGTATTTCAGGCGGTTGTGTTGTGCTAAACACAGACCTTGGGTTAGTCATTGGCTGTGAAACTGGAAATGCACCTGGCCAGATGTAATTCTACAGCAAAGACAGGAATGAACTTAGCAGTCCTCTCTACATGGCTACTCAGAAAAGATAGTGTATGGAGTGTAGTTAGCAAATAAAATGAAAGCACAACTGCCACTTAGATAACATCTCCAGAAATGCTTTCATGCCTCAGCCATGTCATGAGATGCATTCAGGATCCAGTTTGACACAGGATATGAGCACTTGGAGCCAAGACATTTTTACTTGTAATTTATAATTATATACGCACACATACACGCTCGAAAATCAGCAGGAGATGCAACTTGACCCATTACCAACAATTTTCCATCTCTTTTCCACACTTATCATGTTCAGTTTTTCAGATAAAATAAGACTCAAAATCTCTTGCTGTGTATATAGATTACTAAGCCTGAAGTTCCATGATATTAACTGATGTACTAAAGTTATGAAAATACTGAAGAACCCTGTTAAATTGAGGTTGTCATTATTTAAAATTTCAATTCCATTTTAGGTCTGGTTGCAGTGGCATCTGACCTGCCACAGCCAGAAGAAGCTTTGGCAGGGAACTGACATAGGGATGTCAGTTTGTGTGTGGTGGCCAGTCCTCAAGGTCTCTGGATTCCCACTTCCACTGGCTTTTCTGGCAACACAAAACATAGAAACTCCCTGACATCACATATATTACCTTTCACACTGGAATGCAATCATAATGAGGCATGATGATGGTTCTAAAACAGCCTCTAGGTCCTGCTCTACTGCTGTGCTGAAAGCAAAGTATCCTGAAGACCTGCAGTTCAGAGTGTTCAGGAACTACAACCTGTCAGCAAGCATACTGGGAATGAGGTTTGGCTGGATAACCCTGTTCATCATTCAGCTCTGTACTCACGACCAGCTTTGTTTTGGGTAGGCTTAAGAACTTTCAGTCATTTTGGAAAATGAGTAGCGGGTGGTTTTTTTTTGTTTTTTTTTTTTTTACCTTAGGTAAGTGAAGGAAATGACCTTGAGCATTAAATCAGGGCTTGCAGAAAGACTAAAGATAGCATTTCACTGTCATTGGGCTGGAACACTCACAGGAAGGAGGAGGAAAGTCTCCTGCACTAATTTCTCCCTGCAGTTCTATACAGATCAGTTACAACCAAGCAAAGAAAATCCAAGGGATTCAAGATCTCACCCAGTCTGAGCAGAGGACTTATCCCCCATTTACCTGGAAAGGAAAGCAGGACTGTCGCTGCACCACCATGGACACAGGTATGATATCTGTCTTTGCAACAGCAACATATTAAAGAGACTCTCATATGTCAAACAACATGAAGATAGTCACTTAATGCTTTTTGTCACAAAGACCTGTCACCATCAACTTGTGTCAGATTTAAGTGGGTGGATTAATCTTGCACACAGCCTTGAGAGATCAGACCAATATAACTGTTACGTAGGCATTCCTAAAGTGCTGACTCTGCTAGTCAGACAAAAATAGACAAAATGCTGTTTTGGGGAGAGAGCAGAGCTCACCCCAGCCCCTGTGCAGCTGCCGTGTGTAAGGATTGTCCCCTGTGCCCAGTGGGACACGAGAACCACCCTTGTGGCACCAGGCTTTCTCCCGAGGTAGGTGGTCCACTGAAAGAGGTGGGCAGGGAAGGACTAAGGAGGACGTGCAACAGTGGCTTGGCACACCTCATGTCCAGATCAGCAGCAGACAAAAGCAGTGAAGCTTATTCCTCGCATTCCTTATGTTCCCAGAAAAAAAGGTGCTCCAAAGAAGAGAAACGGCTCAGAATGGTTGGACAATTTTTTGTGGATCACTTCAGCCAAATCGCAGTG